CCCCCCCCCCCGGTTTTGTGGGGGGGGGGGGTCAAGGTTTAAAAGATTAGGGCAGCCCGGTTTAAGAGCCCCCCCCCCCCCCCCCCCCTCGGTGTTTGCCATCGGGGTTTGGGTTTTCGTCGCTTGGCAACGACGTTGTAAAACAAGCCGCCCCCGCCCCCCCCCGGTGTTTGCCATCGGGGTTTGGGTTTTCGTCGCTTGGCAACGACGTTGTAAAACAAGCCCCCCACTCGGTGTTTGCCATCGGGATTGGGTTTTCGTCGCTTGGCAACGACGTTGTAAAACAAGCCAATTCACTTCGTGAACTCGGCAACCAGGTTACCGTTTTTTTTTTTTACCTCGTTTTTTTTTTTGGCGGTAACCATAATGGTGGTCGAGTAGATCATGTTCTGCGGGGTCGAGAAACCTCACTCCGCGCAACGGGGGATGATCGCACCACGTTGTGTTAAAATGGTCAAGCTTCCTCGAGGCAGTTACACAGAGCTTACAACTGTCTCTGGAAGTGAAAGAACCAGAAAATAAATTAAGTCATACGTAGCTGTCATCCGTACGCAAGGAAGTAAGCACAAGATGCCGAACACCCTTAGCAGGATGCAGCTCACCCTTCATGCGACTCGCCAAATACCTCACGGCGCTTCGCGCTTGGTGATGTGAGAGCCTGGTCCGGTGAGAACCCGGCGTGCTCCGTCCCGGCTTTGTAGGGATGCGAGGTCAATGGTCAAACGACTACGGCATGCACGACTATGAGTACACCCCCCCCCCCGGTGTTTGCCATCGGGGTTGGGTTTTCGTTGCTTGGCAGCGATGTTGTAAAACAAGCCGATCACTTCGTGAGCTCGGCAACCAGGTTACCGCTTTACTTTTGCCTTTGTTTTTTTTTTTTGCGGTAACCATGAATGGTGGTCGAGTAGATCATGTTGTGCGGGGTCGAGAACCCTCATTCCGCGCAACGGGGGATGATCGCACCACGTTGTGTTAAAATGGTCAAGCATCCTCGAGGCAGTTACACAGTGCTTACAACTGTCTCTGGAAGTAAAAGCACCAGAAAATAAATTAAGTCATACGCAGCTGTCATCTGTACGCAAGGAAGTGAGCACAAGATGCCGAACACCCTTAGCAGGATGCAGCGCATCCTTCATGCGACTCGCCGAATACCTCACGGCGCTTCGCGCTTGGTAATGTGAGAGCCTGGTCTGGTGAGAACCCGGCGTGCTCCGTCCCGGCTTTGTCGGGATGCGAGGTCAATGGCCTAACGACTACGGCATGCACTTCTATGAGTACCCCCCCCCCCCCCTGCCCAACACTTTTACCAAAATGGATGGTAGTCTGGTCAGCGTACTTGCTGTCCGGAGTGCTGTCTGTACACTAACACCATGGTAGGCATGGTACATAGTACAAACTCGGGGCACGCATGGGTGCATCGAATAGTTTTTCCCGACATCTGGAGAGAATCAGTGCAACGTCTTCTTACGGCCTACAGAAAATTGCTGAGAGTCTGTGGAAAGAAATACGTACGTACCATGTCTGTGTGTACTTGGTCTCTTTCTTGATAATAATCCAGATTCTTCCATTTTCACAAAAAATTGCCCTATGTATGGGTCCGCTGCCGTATTGCAGGCTCACCTCTCACCTCCCCAAAAATTACGGGGCTGTGTGCTTTCAGGTTTCAGCAACTGCAGGGAAGATCACCTTTCTTTCTTTCTGCAACCTGCCACAGCCATAAAGCGTAAAGGGCCGTTTTCTTGATGAAATTGTAAATTGTCGTAATAAAACAGCAGCAGCTTTGGCAACTGAAGAGTACATGGAAAAAATCGGGACGCAATTCTCTTTTGGATGACGTACAAAACAAAACCTGTAGACAACTCCCTCCCGTACGCTGGGAGCAAACCTCCCGCCGGGCGCTTCCTTGCCGGGGGGGCGAGAGGGCTTTTTTCCGTGGGGAGCTGGCCTCGCTTTCGGCCAAAGTAGCGCGAAGGGAAGAGTCGTACACGCACGCGGAGTGTAGACAGACACGCATTATTCATGTGCCGCGCGCGCTCTCAACGCGGGTTTGCTGACCTTTCCTGCTCCTGTTCTGCATCCATAGATGGATACAGCTGAGATTCAAAATCTGAAAAGCAAACTATAAAAAATACCCACAAGTGTACATACAAGGGAGGCCAAACTATCGTATAGAATACTCGACGGATACTCCATACGGATTCTAACTATTGCTCACATGGGTTGACATTTCTCAGCACACACAGACAGATCCCACAGCAGTCACCACTAGCTTCAAAGACGCCTACAGGTGTGGTGCGTACAGCCTTCAAGTTCTGGTGACGATCCGACCATCATGGAGGGAGAACTCTGTGATGATGTGGTGAGAGGTCTCTTGGTCGAATCCGTCGCGAATGAATCCAACTGGGGGTTGTTGTTTTTGTTGTTGTTTTTCTTCACATTAAACTCGTGTCACTTGCTAATCCCAAAATCTAGCAAAGACTCGGGGGTATGCCAGAGTCCAAAAACATCCGTCGGGCCAACTTTCGGTTGCCGTAAGAGTCAGCCTCTGACTGACACCGCTTTCTCCCGAACTGAACAACGAATTATGTCTTGAGAGGACAGCAGTAAAGAGTGGGCCGCGGGGTAAACGAAACCATCCTGTTGTAGGGAATGGGAAATCCCTTATGCTACATCGCTGCCGTTCGTTGTCAATTCGCTCGATGTTCCTGTGCTCGCGCACAGCTCGCCTGCCTATGGTTGGTTACCCATGTCCTCACCTCTTGTATGGTTTCGGCTTTTCGCCGGTCCAGGCTCGCCTTTTGAGTTCAATGTGTACGTGCAGCAGTTCTCACGCCGCCTGCTCCTCCTTGCTCTCACCGCCAGCCTACGTGTGTGTGCTGAAGCTGCCGCCTCCGCCGCTTATCTCGTGGAAGAGTGTTGGGAGAGAGCGATGCGTGTCTCCTTGGAACTTCGTGAAAATCAGCAGATGGTCGCCGCCCAAGATGGTCCGCAGATGGATTTACGACAGCAAGTCCACGAAATGTCACCGAAATCCCCGCGCGCATGTACCGTATCCGCGACGCCACAGCCAGAAGCCAGACTCAACAAAGCCACGCTCGGGGTGTAGAGGCGCTCTTGATGGCGCTTTGATCGAGGCTCGAAGCAACAACGCGTAAACAATGTGGGTGCTAGTACCACTGTACTCGGCCTGCTGTGGGATGATGCAGCGTGATTCAAATTGCCATTTTTTTTTTTTTTTCTTAATATGACACCACGAAGCCATCTCCATCTATAGAGAAAAGAGTCTGAGACAGATTTTTGTAATCCATCACGGACGCAAGAAGCGGCTAACCAGGATGCATTTGAGGCATTCTGTTGTAAACAGCTGCGGGACACACCTAAGCACGACGCCTGCGCGTGGATGCCATTTTTCCCACAAGTCAGTACTCACCGCCGGCTACATTGCACATCTCTCTGCAAGGTTCGGGCTTCTTTCTGTCCATCCATCAAGCAGTATACGCCTTCGTGCCAAGTTTCGTGCACCGTGTAGAGAAGCGCGTTTTTGCCTCTTGGATTGAAAGCACCGTCGGGTCGGTTGAGGTTCCGCCGCGTTTTGGGGGGCTTTGACTGCTTTTAGTGCTGTGCGATATAGAATTTGACCCTGCTTGTGTCGGTGGATAGATATTGCATTGGTCTACGGCCGTAGTGCTTCATCTTGAAGGGGTGGCTCTGCTGTGGGCTTTTTTAGCACGGTAGAGTGCGAATGGTGTGCTTACACGCCCTTTTTTTTTTCAACGCGCAGCACACGGACAGCAACAGCAGGGGTGACAGGCAGCGCCCAAGAAGCGCCGTCGCCTCAGAGGGGTCTTTGGCTGTGTTTATCTTGGTGAAGCAATGAAGGTATGACCAAGAAGCAGCACAGCGGGAGAGATGATACACGTTCACACCGACACGACACGCAGTCGCTACTCAAATTCCGTCCCCGCGGTGTCGCTATATATTTTCTGTGTGTGAAGTGGTCATGCTCATGTTTTGGTATTTGGTACTACTCCAGGGTACCTTTTCCACAGCAGTGTACACTTGCCTTCACAACCGTGTGGAGTGCGTGGGTAGTTCCTATTGCATAGTCTCGTCCCCCGGCCACAGCAGACAGCAATGGCATTTTTCCCCGCGAACCATGTACTGCTGTAGGTTGTGCTGCTGTAGCAGCAGTGATAAATGTGCTGCCAGCAGCAGTGGTTATGGAGACTACGCATATGCTGCAGCAGTACATGGTGCTTGTGTGCCGCTGTAGTCCTCTTTCCCGTTTCACTCCATACATGTGCTGTTCAGTCGGCATTCCACTACAAGACACACCTTCACGCTGCTAAGGAGTAGTCTGGAGGAAGGAACAGCAAGCGACCAAAAACACATATGTTGGTAACATATGCATAAAGCCGATCAAATATAACCAAAACAGGTTCTCGCGGCGGCCGCGGTGCTCGTACACCTACCGGCGTGCCTTGTCCGGGGATACACGGCGATTCCGCCCCCATCATTGACGAGAGGGGGGCTTTCCGCGCGCGCCGCGGGGGCAGGGGAGCAGTACGATGGCGCAGGGTGGGTGTGGCGAGACACGCACAGAAGGTTAGCGCTTGGTTTGTCCGGGTTCTGCTACTTGTTTGTGGAGTGGTCGCTGTGTTTGGGGTTTCGAGAGTGCTGATATCTTGTTGTTGTAGCTACTGCTGCTGCTGTTGTTGTTGTTGTTGTTGTTGTTGTTGTTGTTGTCGCGATATGCTCTGCGGCAGGATTTGGATTTTCTTTGGTCAGGATTTAGTTCGCTGGGGATGCGGTTCGACAGCGGGTCTGTCCGGCGTGAGATCCATGGATTCTTTCATGTGGTGTTCGTCTTCGCTGTCCAACACGTTGGACTCGGTGCTGGGCTCAGAGCGTCCACGAACAGCAGTCGCTTGGTCTCCCTTCTCGAGCTTTTGATGTTTTGCTTCTTTGTTAAAGCCCGCTGTTTCAAGCCGGCATGTCGTGCACACCGCGTTCATTTGGTTTTGCTGCGGACCCCTCTTCTTTGGGTGAGAGTTTAGCAAACCGGTTTGCTATTGAATGGGTTATTCGCGTGCGTACATGCGTACGCAAGGGTCAACAAAAACTGCTGTGACCGTTGTCTGCCTGGTCGCCTCCCTTGTTCAAACCATGGTTATCCGCCGGTGCACAAAGGGCCGCTCAGTTAACGGATCTCGTCCGGCCTGGGCAGCACCAGTCGCTGTCGCTGTCGCTGTCGCCGTCGAGCGGGGACGACCGAGTGTCATCGGGAGGGAAGACGTCAACAACAACAACAACAACAACAACAACAACAGGTGATGCATGCTTCGGGTGCTGCTTGTAGTCGGTAGCTTGTAGTCGGCTTTTGTGTCTGCAAGGCGTGTGCGATTAAGGGTTATAAACCCATCGCCGCGGGCGTTCGGGCGGGGTCAATTTTGTATCCTTCGGTGCCATCGCGATGTGGCCGCGTATAAGAAAAATGGTTCCGTCTTTTGCCACCTCCAGTCGCCGGGAACCCTTTGCTCGCGAAGAACGGATCGTCTCTTTCATCGTGGGCCGTCTGCCGCCCCCCCGGGCAGGCGCGTCATGGGACAAGCTCCCCACGACACAGAAAGCATTGCTACTGCTTCCGAGGTCGGGCATGTCGGTTGCACCACCGAGGATGTTCTTCGCCTCGTTGATGTCGGACCACAACTTAACGCGGCAGTAATCTTGTCGTTGAGCCGTCAAAGACACGAAAGGTGTGTTGTGGTGCACGTGGGAAGTAGGCGCCGGGGGTGGAGCGTGTGCTGTACCCTAGGTACCTCGGCGGGATATTCGAAACCTCACAGACTTCCCTCCGGTTGTGCTATTGTTTTCAGCCTTTCGAACTCGCGGGTTTTGCTTGTGGTATTGTTTGTCAGGTGGTCAGTATTGCCGAGACGGCAGCTCCACACGCCAGGGTTTCCTAAAGGCCGGCGGCCTCGCTGCTGCCGGGGTGATCGCCGCCATGGGAGCTGTACCCGGGACGATCGTGGAGGGCCGGGGGAGGGCTGTTGAAATGGTGGAAGCAGCAGTAGGAGTGGACGAACCGGCGGTATTGCTTCAGAAGGAGGCAAGTCCGGACTTGGAGGGTACCTCGGGGTAGAGAACTGACAGCGTGTTTTTCTGCCTATCGCTTGGTGTTCAGGTCGAGGTTTCCATCGGAGCTCGTGATTGCGTACCTATCTGTTCTCCTCACTCCTGCTTTCGAGACGAACGTTTGTCGGGTTTTGAACGCTCAGACATTCGCAATGTTGCTCGATTCGGATGAAGAGCAGCCGTGCGGTTTCAACTGGTGCAGGTGACCAATAGCCAACAGACGAGGGTAAGCTGAAACCCCCGTGCCTCCTGCTATTATCTGGCTAAGCCCGCGCTCGTGTTTCGGTGACAGGTTTTGTCCTACGTGAGGGAGGCCTTGCCCGGGTGGAGAACTCTCCCTGACGGCGACATACAGCTGAAACAGGTGTGTTGATCAGCGTGCTTGCCGAGACAATCGCCGCACGATCCTATGCCACATGTTGGAATCGCCTGTCTGCGCAAACCGCAGGCTTCTAGGGTAGGAGTAACCGTGAACGTACTAGTGATCACATTGGCTGACTACCAAAGTTCGACTACCCCATGGACCAATGGCGTACGATAATTGACCGATACGTTCGAGACAAACTCCCCGACGAGGTCTTTCAATCCGAAACCCTTTTCTGCGTTGAATACTCTTGGCTGTGGAGCAATGGAGCGATTAAGGTCGTTGTACATATGTGCGATGACTCTCCTTTATGCTTGCGATCGCCCCGCCCGGCTCTGTCGGCTTGCGTCCGTTTCAAGTTGCTTCTGTGCAGTAGCAGCAGGATCGGGACGACACAATGGGTGATTTGATTCGGGGCGACGCGATACGCCTCTACCGGTAAATAAGTGTTTTGTTTTTGTTTAGACGTTGCTCCCGTCCGTCCTTCGGCTGTGCGTTCTAGATCACCGGAGGTATCACGAATGTGATCTTCAAGGCTCGAAACACCGCCACCGGGGAGGGAGCCCTTGTGCGCGTCTACGGCAAAGATACCGACTTGTTGCTGGATCGGCGGTACGTTGGTCAACACCGCGAGACACTTCCCTACTGCTGTGGCTGTCCTTGGTCGTGATTGCCGAATGTGTTTTAGTCTTGCGCTTTTTCGGGCAAGTTGACAACAACTCATGTTACATTTTTGTTTTTGAGTTTTCGTTGCGCTCGATGTATGTTTGGTCCATCGCAAGTAAGGGCTGTGCCAGTGTGGGGGTACCTTGCCACCACCAGATGTCCTGTTGGGTGGTACCTCCAGCTCTTGACAGGGTCGTTTCGACGTCGTGTCGTAGATTCGCCTTCGCTGTGTCATATCCGTTGACCGGCCGAATTCGACTCGATTTTCTTTCGGGACTTTGGGTTATCAATTGGGGGCTGGGGGCGGGTCTTGGGTTGAGTTAACACATGAAGTGCTTAAGGGATGACCGATCTACTGCATAATATTCTCTAACAGCCGGTTGGGCATGTGGTCTGCTTTGTCGCCGCTGCTTGAACGCGGCGGCCGGCCATCTCTATCGTTTCAGCGCGTACAACCGTCCACACGTACTCCGACGGGCCGTAATAAGCCGCGGCTACGCGCATTCCGTTGAAGCATCCGAAGTACCTAGCTAATCGTTTCGTGTGTCGCTTCAAAAGTGTCGCAATACCTAGACGCCGTTGCTATTTTTTCGTTGTGGATGTCTCGATTCTCGCAGAAAGGAGGCCGCGGTGTTTTCGGAGCTGTCCACCCTCGGATTCGGGCCTCGGAAGCTTGGAGAGTTCAAGGGTGGAAGGTGACAAGTGCGCCTTGCAGTGTAGTGGATAATCGTGAGGCGCCAGACCGGACGCGTGTGCCTGGTACTTGCTCACTCTTTTTCGTTTGTTTTTTGTCATGTCAGAAGACTGGACGAAAAAATTATGAATTCCTCGTCCATGACACTCGCCGGATGTAACACTATTCCGATTCACACTTGGGCGTATTGTTTCTTCCCGTGACGTAACATCTAGGAAACCTCGCCGACCAAGCACACCTTCTGGCGTGGTGCGTGTAAGCACCAGCAGTAGGAGGAGCTCTCCTGAAGTATGAGCTAGCTGTTGGGTGCTGTGAGGTGACGATGTTTTTTTCTCGAAAAACGTATTTGTTGTCATTTTTCTGGAGCCCTATCGGTGCAACAAAAACCCGAAAACGACGAACAAATTCCAGTCTTTTTCATCAACCACGCCGGTTCACCCATAGTCACGTTGTTCGCAGGAAGCAGCAACAACGGAAGTGCTAGTGTGCTTAGGCCAAGTTTTGACGGGACGAAAGTCTATTCCAGCCCGCAGCAAATGCGGCTGAGGTCGACAACACGTCAGCTCCTTTTGTCGTTCAATAGTTGAGTATGCGGCTTAACACTCTTGTCGTCAATTTCGCGGGCTTCCAGAGTGGTGCCTACCGCTGGCTGACTGTTGTTCCCTCCCTCCTCACACCGCACTACCGCGGTCGATGATGTTAAGGATTGAGGAGCTGCTGGACGCTCGGGCGGCCACCCCGGAGGAGCTGCTGCAGACCTCCCCCTTTGACGTGCCTCAGGCCATCGCGGTAAGGGGTTATCTACGTGGTGTAGAGAGGTTGTGCCTTCATCTACACGGGATTTTCTTCTGCACCGTTGGCGGGCGGGCGCGAAACGTGTGCAAGAACGTCTTGGTGCCCGTTCTTTGGGCTCTGCTTGATGCCCGAGAAACGTAGGACCAAACGGTGATGCCAATCGATCCACACGTGCCAGCACCACTTCTATCGACAGCATCAGCAGCAAACAAAACGACAACACCAGAGCTTACATGACACCCACAACCATCAATGAAGACGGTGCTACGAAACTAGTTACCGTAAGTTACGGAGTTTCCCCCCCGGGGAGGGGATCGTTTTTTTTTTTTTTTCTGAAACCAACCCCCCCGGGGGGAAACTGACGTACTGCGGGGGGGTCGTTTTTTTTTTTCCAACGCTACGCCGGGGGGAAGCCCCCCCCCCAGGGGGTTGTGCAAAGTATTGATGGTCCACACACCACACAACAAATAAACAACACAGAGAGAGATGAAACTGAGACGGATAAGGTTTACGAGCAAGCGTTCAACAAGCAGAGGGAGGAGGAACGTAAGAGCAACAAAGACGAAGAGAAAAAAGGCATCAAGGAGGACAGCAGCTGGGGGAGTTTGTCTCGTCCCGCGAGTGATTCCAAGAACGAAAATATTTCACCCATAAAACAACGGCGAGGGCCAAGTGACAAACGGTACACCTAAATCTCGCTCGAAGCGCAGACCTGCGAGTGAATTTTCTGTCCCGTATCATGCTTTTTGTGCTCCGCGATGCAACAAAACCGACTCAGAAAATATGAGAAATACATCCCCCCCGGGGGGAACTCGTGGGAAAAATGGTACCCCGGGGGGAAATTGACATACCCGGGGGGATCTTTTTTTTTTGTCGAAAACGATCTACCCCGGGGCTAAATCGACGAACTCATGCTCCCAGGCCGAAAAGGTGATGGGGGGGGGGGGGGGACTCTAACCCGGGGGAAAACTCCGTAACTTACGGTATATCGTTATATTTTCTGACCCGCTCAGGTTCAGCTGGCGAGCCTCCACGGGCAACGAGTCCGTTCCAGCGCCGGCTCGCCCGACAGACCCGTCATGTGGACGAGCATCGACAAGTGGTTGAAAACCGCCACCCGCTTGGACTCCACGAAGAGTTTCCCGCTGGCCAAGGTAGGCTGGACCAGTGTTCTCCTTGCCCTTACCCCGAAGGCCTCTACTCTTCGCTGTAACAGTGCTCTCTGCCTTTATTTTTATCGCCTCCAAGGTGCCCTGACCCCACCAATTTTCGAGGGAGACGGAAGCGTTGTGGCATCTTCTTCTCACGTGTGGAGTTCTCGTTCAGACGAATTTTCTTCTCACGTGCGGAGTTCTCCTTCAGACGATTATTTTCCCGCCTACTGGGGTCTGACGGAGTACACGATTCTGCATCCATCCCCCAGAGCAACTACTCCCACCCGCGCTTATTACCATTGCGCACTGTATACGACGGCAGCGTTGGCTCGCGCGCGGGGAGCGGTGACCCCTGTTTGACTCAATGCATTTTCCTCCTCGGCAAGTTTTTGCTTCAAAAAAACTCCCGCGTCCTTCCATGCTGTTGGGTCAAACAGAGAGAACCCAGTGCGAAACAGTATTGCGGCTGCTGTGCATCCAAGCCTTTTTCTCAGATCATCCGCTGTACAAGCGATTTTCTCAGATCATCCGCTGTACAAGCGATTTTCTCAGATCATCCGCTGTACAAGCGATTTTTGGTCAAAAAACATGTTTTCCTCTCGACCCGTCTAGAAGCAATTGCCGTCCTTCCGGACATGGGTCAGTTTCTTCCCGGTACATTTCTTAAAGACTATGAGTTGTAGACAAGAAAGCCCAGCGCACGGAGCGATGTCAGGGTCCATCCAGGGAATACAGCACACGCCACCATTTTATCCGCTCTTGATTTGGGCAACCCTCCCGGCTTGCTTCCTCTGTGAAACATTTTCGCGCTCCTGGTCTTGCTACCACGGGTATTGGCGCGTTTCTGTACGAGGCTGATTCGTCGGGTCGAATATTCTTGGCGCGCTCGCAGATAGCTGAGGAGGTGGTGTGGCTCAAACGGAATCTTCCCGGCCCTGCCGCAGCCGCGGACGGCACACCAGGGTCCCCTGACCAGGCTAGTGCTAATGATGTTTGGAAATCTTGTTTCGTGAGGTCGTGTGTTGGCTGTCGTGCTTGTGTCGTCGCGGATGTCTTTGTTTCTCTGTAGTTGGTTGCATGCGTTGCGGGCCTGAATTGATGTTGCACACGCGTACATTGACTTGTTGCGAAAGGTTTCACACGCTTGAGCTGTACGAAGTAAAGGCACGTTCGGTGATCCTCGACAGCGCACAAGCAGTAGCCTACGGCAGATGTATCGTCTATCGCATGCGCTTATCCACAGACGCCTCCCCACACTTCTAGCCTCTGACTCCCCGTTCCATTGTCGCGCTCGCGAAACAGAAGCTAGCGGCTGAGATAGCAAACGGCGTCGTCTTCGCGCACAACGATCTACTGTCGGGTAAGCGGCGGGGACATACAACAGATGGCGCTCATGACTTCACCGGTGACGCGCTCATCGCGCCGTTTACGCGTGCGCTGGAGTGGTTCTCGTCCACGCTCGGTTTGTTTTCGTTCATGTTCACATTGGTCATATTCTCGTCGAAGATATCGCCTCTCAGTTGACAGGCCAATTCGTTTGTTTTTTTTTGTACTTTTGTTGGCGCAGAAAACGCTACCGCCATGTCTCGCCTGGCACCCTTCCGTTCCCGCGCTAGCGCGTGTTTGTGACACGGGACACCTATCCGCGGTGCACGTGTACCTCATCTTGGCGCTGTGTACCTCTTTTTGTCAGGTAACGTTCTCGTTGGTCCCCGGGGTGCGAAGAAGATCTCCACTCTCCGGCTGATTGACTTCGAGTACTCCGACTACAATCCTTGCGGGTGAAGAATGGCGCGCTTGTGTGGGAACAACTAGCGCACCTATGTTTATTCGCCGTCAAAGCGTTTGTTTTTTTGCCGTGGTGGTTCTTGACGATTTTCTGTATCTGGTGTGATTGATCGTTTGCTTGTGTTTCCCTTTGATAGCTTGTCACGATTCTCGACGGCATAATGGCAAGCAGCGTGGTAGGGGGGGTTCTTTCATATGGATGCGTTGTTGGGGGTACCCATGCTTCATCACGACGCGTTTGGTAGTGGCTTTGTGTGCCCTTGCCTTGCCACATGCTTCGTTCTTCACAGCAGGTATCGCGTGGTTTGATGATGGAGTGCAATTTCTACCGCTTGTCGACGCAAGCCCGTGACGCAAGTGCGAGTTGAAGCGGCTACCCAACGCTCAGCACTCACTTACACCTAAACACACCTCCACGATCGTTGGCCGCGTCCTTTTCTTTCCCTTTTCGAACAATGCCTTATTTCCTCATGTATTTTTTGGCGTAAACTTCAGTGGACGGGCCAGAAAGCAAGTTGACTCGTCCTTGCCGCCGCTGCGCGTGGGGTATGAACCATCATATCGCGCGCCCCCCTTCGCTCTCAAGACTATACCCACAGCAAATACTCTGTTGAAGTGCAGTCGTGCCGACGACCATCTCCCTTGTCAGCACTTCTCACGCGTCTCCGAAAACTACCGCCTTCGGCTGGTAAAAGTAGGGATTACTCCGCAGACGGTCTACATGCCCCCTAGGCAACGTGCCGGGGCTTCCATGTGACTGATCCCTCCGCAGAGTTTTTTAACCTGTTTGAGACAAACACCATCACCTACTATTTTACCACAGGTACGACATCGCCAACCACTTCTGCGAGTGCGCCGGCTTCGATGCCGATTTCCGGAGGCGTTATCCTTCCGACAAGCAGCGGCAAGCATTCCTTAGGGCCTACGTGGAGGCGGCAAGACCTGAGGCTCTTCAAAACGCGTTGGTGGGTCAGGGGCTGAAAATGGTCGGTCTGGGGGTGGCAGTGGTTTGTGGGGTTTGGACTTGGGTTTGGTTGATGGTGCTGCTTTAGGTTTTCTCCTGACGCTGCCGCTGCTGTTGATGGTGATAGTTTCGATGCTACTAACTCTGTAATCGATCGCTATCACGTTTTGAGGTGTCGCTGCTGCCTCTCCGGGGGTGTCTTTCCCCTTCAAGTCTGTCGCGGCGTTCTATGTGTTCGTCCTAGTCAGCATTGGTGTCAACCCCCCCCCCCCCCCCCTTGCCTCGGTGTGTGATCTCCCCTGGCCCTCAGTCTGCCGACAACGTCATTAGTGAGCTCGCGAGGCTCGTCGACCGGTACACGTTAGCTAGCCACCTAACGTGGGCCCTGTGGGCAGTGATCCAAGCAAACACTTCGGAGATAGAGGTGGGGCCTTGTCAAAAACAAATTGCACTGGACTTTTTGTCGGGCTCAGTCTCCTGAAGGGCCAGCCGTTTGTTGTTGTTCTTGTTGCCGTGGCTTCCTTCACGCGGAAGCGTTGATGGCCCTGTGGCTATAGTAGCGCCACGCAACTGCGTGTCGTCGTGTTTGTCATTGTTGCTATTGTTGTGGTCGTCGTAGTCGCACATGTTTTCGTTCTACCTTGTGATTTGTTTGAAACCCAGTTTGCAAGTGGGTTGCCCCTCTCCGACTGTTTGTCTGCTGCTATCTCGGAGGTTCGACCGCGGGCTCCTTCACTTTTAGCTTTATGCCAACCACCGAATACAGCAGCAACTCTTGGTCGCTTGGTCACCAATTCCGGCCTGATCCGCTTTTTCCACCAAGGCGGAGACTCCTCGTCCTTGCTGATCTGAGGAGGGCCTATCATCCCCAAGAACAATGTGACCACGCGTGCGGATGAGTGTCCGGCTCTCCCCGTAACCAGATGTGTTTGGTTTCGTAACGAAAGACCCCGGCGCTCCCCCTCCCTCCCTCACTTTTCGTGGCAATCGCTTTGTAGGGCTTCGATTTCGCGGGCTACGCCACGAAGCGGCTGGACGGGTACGCCTTCCACAAGGAGGCGTTCTACGCGTGATGTCCCTTTCTCTTCTGCGTCTCCGAGAGGGCGGTGCCCTCAGAATCGTGGAAAAAAACAGCGCACGTTTTTGTGTCGCTTGTTTTGATATGTACCGCCCTTTGCGGTAGCCACTGGGCCGAAAACGCTCAATCTGTTGGTGTTTCATCGGTGTTGGCTTCATGAATTTGTGTAGAGCCCTAGAGAGACCGCCAACGGCCACGAAACATCGGAGGTTGCAACTACGGCAAAGCTGGGACCCTGTCGGCGGGGGGAGTAGCAGTTCGGCCACGCCCGGGTGGTTGCGGTTGATGTTGACAGCGGCCTTGGTTACAAGGGTCTCCCGAGGTTTGAACGCGCAAGTCTCTGAGCAACTCCGGGGTTGCGATGTTTGATCTGTGTGAGCTTCTGATGTGCTAGAACGACCGCCAGCAATCGGAGTGCGTTTGCACGAGTTGCGGATAGTGGGTGGGTGGCGTGGATATAGATGGGATTAGATGTAGACGATTAGAGTTTTAGGTTCGATCTTAATAGACATACACTTGAGAAAGACGCGAAGTACAGGTGAGGACAGCTAGGGGAAACGGAAAAAGAAAGACGGGAGTGAGTGTTAAGGCAGATGTGCAGCGCCACGTTTCGACTGCTGCTGCCAAGCAGCTTGAGACGTCTGTCTCCCGCGCCCGCAACAGGCTCGCGGAGGGAAATGTGTGTATGTCGGGGGTTTACCTTTGTTACGTTGGAATAAAGTTAGGTTTAGCTCACGGCAACACCTCAGCAAATAGAGCGCCGGGGGCTCCTGCACCCCAAACGGTTCTCCTTTGCGGTTTTAGTCAGGAGCGCATGCTGATAGACTATTTTATTTTCTCGTGTGGTGTTTGGGCTAACAATATGGTGGCAAGAGTGGTCATATTGGGAAAGTGTGGTACCATATTGGGCGCAGTGGCGGCCGGGGGACCATCGGGCGGTACATTACCTAAACGCCACGCTGTGTGCATCCCTTGGTGTACGCGGTACGACGCGCGTAGCTTTTTCGCAATGTATGTGTGCGGATGTTGGAGAGGCATTCATGATTTTTTTCTTGCTAGCTTTCGTGGAACAGTTTGTTACTCTCTTGCTGGGAATGCTCCCGCTAGACTGTTATACTACAAACCAAAGGAACGGTCGCTGCGAAAGTAAAAGTTTGCCGTAGGGATGGTTTGTGAGCTCTTGCCTGGTTTTGTTATTTTCGTCGCAATGCGTCCATCGTTTTCGGCGATAGCGAACACACGAGCAAATCCTTTTTGGCCAGCGCATATGCAGCATGCAGCACTGTGCGAAGGGGCCAAATTGTTTCCCTTTTCGTTGCAAACCGTACCAGCTGTTGCTCGGTTGTGTGCTCGGTTGTGGACATGAGGGGCGTGCACTGATTTCCTCCCTATGATGAGCGTCCCGCCCGTTGTACGTGTTCATGTGGTCCAGACACCCTTGCGTCGCTGTTTGAATGGTGAACCACGGCAGCCAAGAAGCGTTCAGACCGTTTTTAACCCTTGCTCTACGCAGTTGGGCATTGATACCATGCATTTTACCGCTCAAAACACAACAGCACGCGGCAGAGGTTAGTTTGGCACTTCTGTGTTGGCGTCGTTGCCAACCTTTTCTGTTCTCTTCGACAAAATCTTCGAACCCAGCACAACACTGCACATTGATGCGTTCAAATTTTCAACGCCAACGCATTTCGAGCCAGCTTTCGATAGGGCAGAGTTAGCTGAAATCACTGTCCATGCGCCGTTGCGAGACAATATCTATCGCATTCCTCGAAACCACCTTGTCACCCAATCTGATCATGGTAGGAAACAGATGCGGGCGCATTGTTGTTCGAAACAAAAGCGTCCAGATGATGAGGTAACGCATACCACCATACCACCGAGCAAAGCTTGTTCTGGGTACACCAGCATTCTACCACCGACCATTTGCAAAGAATCACGGCGCACACGCCACCGTGCGCGATTATCTCACGCTACGAGGAGTATCCGTCTCTATCCATATGACATCTACATTTTAGCCACGAGCCCCTTTAAATAATACAAAAACACTCACAAAATAATTTCGTACGCTAGACTTCATCAAAATAGGCCGTTTCGATTGTGCAATGTTTTTATTTCAGAGCTTTTCAGTATCCACCGCATTCAAGCGCGCATATTGCCACTTGTTCACAGAAACCAAGCGGTACCCACGGTCCCTTTACACTCAACTGACACACTCATCCGACATACAGAAAACTGTCATGCCGTGTCACGGATCTACAACGCCTCTTGCCCCCTTCGTTTCCGGTACTGTTCAGCAGCATATGTAGCAGAGTCGATTGTCGCTGCCCAATCATCAGCTTGCAACGCTAGGTTGTTGCCCTTTGCCGTCCCGAACCCTTTTCTTCCGGGAGCAGACGACAACCGAGCGCACAGAGTACTTCCTGCACTCGTAGATCGCGTTTTATCTGGTCACCAACCCTCCCTTACCCCGCCCTCCTACCGAAACCGAAATAGACTACTCAAGTTTCTTGACTCTTCGCTCCGAAACCGCAAAGAATACACATGTGCGTGCCAGCGATTAATACGTGATCCGTATACACCGGTGTCGTTTGACAAGATTCGCCCGAACCCCCCCCCCCCGTGTAGACCACCCCCGAATGATCTGGCCGCGAACAACGGGCCACTCACCATCCACGAGAAAAACGCAGCAACGCTTGGAAAGAAGTTGCTACGCAGGCGGACAACACAATTCCTTGGCCGCAGACTTTTCCTTCTCCTCCCCCCTCGTAAAACCGTTTCGAACATAAATGTCGTTACCCGCATCACACTCCCTTTTGATGCATCCTACGCCCGCCCCGATCATCACGCCTGCCGACGCATCACCGCGACTACCTGGGCCTGCGAATAATTGTGGATATTTGCCGGGACACGTCCCACCACACGATATCCCATCATTCGCTCCACGAAATATCAAAGGGAATGGATCATCATCACTGCTCCGCCCACAACACGGTGAACCACGATGCATCCTCCGACAATGGCGACCGTGGAAAGGGATTCCGTCGAACAACCTGGTCTAATGCGAACAGCTCCTGCACAAACGTACAAAACTACAGACAAAAGAGACCCGACTCACTGATTCACGGCCGAACATGAGAGGCACCACGAAGCATCGTCGCTTATGTAAGCGTTGATTCCTGCCGCAGCAACGGCAACAAGTGTGTTCTACCGACTAGTTGATCAATATCGACCCATCAGTAAAATAGAGCCTAATCGTAGACCGTAATCGTAAATCGCCTTTTTTTTAGGCTGAGCGGGAACCCTGGTTTCTCATTCCCCCGCACCAAACATTCGACGCACAATACGACAGGAGGAAGAAACCCACGCATTTTTCATTTTGGGCCTGAGCAACGCGACAAACCCCGGCGACTTCATGCTTTGCCTGCTGCCGCCCCATTCCCCTCTCCTCCTCCTCGTGCTCGTTGCAGGTGTTCGAGGGATGCGAGGGTCATGGTCTGACCACCATGGCCATCCATCGTCCTCACTGCCATAGCAAAAACCGGGTGCGTTCCAAGATTGGTCCTCACTCAAACCCCACCCGCCATTACACCGCCGCCTGGCACGACACCGATCACTATCTGCCCTCAATCAAGCCAGGCGGTGGGTGTTCCTATCAATACATGCCGCATCCACCACATAAAAAACACCATCACGTCACTCTTACGTCGAGTCAGGTCAGGTCAGACGCAAACAGCAAAATATATTCATCACGGGTCTGACCCAATAACCCTAACGAACACATCGAACACATATATACCGCCCCTCCAATGGGAAACCCCACTCGAAAGGACGGAATGGTAGGAGATTTCCCGGCAATAGCGATGGAACCACCTCTTTTCACTTCTATCGCCATGCCTCTCACCGACACAAGCTGGTTTACGTTCAGGGGCACAGCAACCGTGCCAACGAGGCTAATTATCGCCTCACCAATTGATACAACCCACCAATCATGCACGGCTTTGTGTGCGTGCTAGATCTTCTGCAACCCGAGATGGGTCGCCGAGAAGCACCGCTTTCCCGTCAACTCTCACATACTCCGTCCAATCAGCGCATGGTTTATCTCGCCGCCTTGACCTCAAAACAGAAGAGTAGCGCCATCTTTAACGCTATCTCCCTCGGCCTTCTCCTCGTAAGCCAACAATTGAAGTGAGAGAGCGAGTCGAGTCAGACTCACTACCGAACCCCCCCCCCCCCCAATTGTTCAACAGTGCGCGGGGGGTTCGTAGGTTGTAAGACTTTGCCAATCTTCCCGTAACCCCCTCGTCCCCATTTTCGTCCATCTTCTCGTCTCCAGGCCAGCGATGGCGACGGCGACTCAGAACAGACCCAGATTCAGACCTCGAAGTGAGTGGCGGACCCCCTCGTCTTAGGGGTCATCTGCGGTGAGACAGATGGGCAGAGGGACACACGGGTATGCAAGTTCGTACAAGCGGTAAGAAGATCGAGATAGTTCAAAATGGGCTGTTCAATGGGCGCTGTCCTGTCCGTAGACGAGTGTGCATGCAGGTGTGCAGGGGAGAGGGAGCTTGCGGTCGAGCGCGAAGAGGGGACCGGCCCATGGATGACGTCTCCAAATCACGGTTAATTTCACCGCACATCTCTTATGTCGCTTCAATCCCACGCTCTCTTGCACAAGCACGCCTGCATTGCTATGCAACAAGAAGCTTGGGTCGGAGTCACCCACCACGGAGGGCTCGATTTTTGTCGTCAATTTCCGTGGACCCTCCCTAATGGACCCGAAACCACATCGAGAAACCGTACAATACCTCCGTCTCGTGCACATGTAAGAAGACGCCTGCCTTCGTTGTGCATGGTCTCATCTCCCGAGTTTCCATGAACGTACCCCATTTTCCACACCCTCGTGCTAAACAGCGCACTCTTGTTACGTGGTCGCAGATCTTTGTCAGAAACTGCCGTGTGTCCCAGTTGTTGAGGAGAACTTCGCACTGTCCTGGTTTCATGTGGTCTCACCGTGAACTCGGAGACCATGTCCTCGCGTGGGTCTTCGGTGATGGCTCCAAGGGTAAGGCCGTCCTTCACGGAGGGGCCGTGAAACATCATGTCCAGGTCGCCCAGCATGACCTGGTTTATAACCCAGGGGGAGGCGGGCTTGTTACCGAAAAATAGAGCAGAACGGGTTGTATTTTCTGTTGTTGTTGTTGTTGTTGTTGTTGTTGTTGTCTTAAAAAAAAACGTTCCGTTCTCTCTGTGCAGTACCTTCATATGTCGGTACTAGTCTAACACCTGACGGGGTCTATTCCCGTGGTCAGAGGCTAACTTACCCCAAAAAGTTATTTCACGAAAATAAAAAGGACCCGTGAATACTTATACTTCCTAATAATGGCAGGTTGCACGAGTCGGCAGCCTCTCACCGATGACAGGTGCGGGGAATCATCGTCTTCGTCACCGTCGTCGTATTGCTTGGCCGTGCCGTCGTTGTCGCCGGCATCCATGATGCGGCCCCAGTCGATTTCGGACCTGGTCTTCCCGTGGCCCTTGCCTAGCAGCAGCAGCAGCACAGCAGCAGCAGCAGCAGCAGCAGCAGCAGCAGCAGCAGAAAGTCGGGGAAAGTAGCAATGAACACAAGGGGAAAGTTCGTTGCAATGCCTTGCTGAAACGGTTTTTCTTGCGACCGTCGTTGAGCTAGCTTCCCTTTGCGCAAGCCGAAACGCGACCAAGCGTTCTCAGGAAAACCTCTATCTGATTCCTGGGTCCGGTGTTGTAGTCGTTCTTTCGTGGAATATTCTTGTCGGCGAGATCAACTCACCGATCTCGTGAAAGCCGAATCGACCCCAACGAATGGGAGCAGGGGGGGCTACCGGGGAGGCGAAGGCCAGGACACGAATGGCATGCGTTGGAGACAATAACCACCGGGAACGTGAACAACACGCTCAATGCAAGCAACGATACCGCCAACGACAACAACTGCAGGAACAACAATTAAGCCGTCTCATTAGAACAAAAAAAGCAACACGAAAGGGAGCAGCGGCATATATGTACACGACACCACCTGATCCAAGATCCAACGCAACACTGGCTGCAGCAGGAGCAACGACAGCCGCACCAATAGCAACAGCAGCAGTACCAATTCCAACACCGACACCGCCACATCGCCATCGCCACCACCACAACTAATAGCAACAACAACGACAATGACACGAAAGGACAAGATCGACCGGAGAGGTACAATACCTGACACAACCGAGGCAGGGCTGCGCGCCACGCTCCCCAAGCTCGAGTCGGTTTCAACATCGCCATAGCTGCCGCTCTCTTCACCGTCTCGGTCCCAAGGGCTCTTGTTATGGTATTTGGAGGTAGACACGTGATCGTGGTTGACCATGGTTACTTGGCGCCGTCGAATGATCAGACGATACGTCATGCTAGATTAGGGCTTTATGCCGAGGCTTGTGCCCTTCTGCTCAGTGTGCGTGCCACAGACGATCCCTGATCGTGTGTGCGTGGGACATTGTGGGTTGGCTTGGAAAGCGTTAATCAAGAGAATGAGAACGACGGAAAGCAACAACAACCTGCTCCTGCGGTCGGACAAGAGGGTTCCACACAGCTCAAAGGTGATTGATTCTGAAGGAAGGGGTCTAATACCATTACACTCTCTCGCGTGACCGGCTTTTCGATTCGATTTTTCGGTTCCAAGTAAACTCATTGAAGTTCGATCGTTCGTGTCCGAGAACGTCAATTTTCAACATTAATGGCGGAGGTAGGAAAAGGAAAAGAACGGGAATACTACGGCTTCTTGGTGTTGGGCAGTGGACGTTCATGGCCGCATGTGACGAAATGCGCTCTCTCGAAAACGGTGGTGTTCCAACCTCCAACGACGACTTGTTTGACCTTGGCCGTGGAAGAGGAATCAGACGAAGAGGCCGACGGGTACGTGGTTGGCCACCACACAGTATTATTGACACCTATCGAGCGCGTTGGCTGCTCCATGTACCCTGCTGAAGGTGTTTCGATGTTGACCGCACCCACACCATCGTATGGAAGAGAGACCCAACACTTCCACTGCTGCCACACGCAAACAGGGATGCCTCTGGGATCTCGGGTGCTCTCCTACTAATTCGACGTGTGCTTTACACCAATCCCGAAGCACTCCCGCCCCCACCTTGAGTTTCCTTGCTAGATTTAGGGGTGGGAGTGGGAGGGTTGTCGCTGCGTGAAGTGTGAAAACAACCAGCATACTCGCACACAATGGTAGGTATTGCGAGCTCCCCTTTCACGAATACCCGGGGAACTGCACTTCCCTTCTCATGTTCGCTTCGATGTAACCGCTTGCAGGCGTGGAAGCAACGGAAGGTCGAACCGAAAACGACCTAAAACCCGTGAAGCATTTAAGGCATTTCATTGACTTCGTCGTTCGCGGGCGAGGACTTTCGGGGAAACGGGTCGACCGCGTGTGCACTGCAGTTGCGCCGAAAGCCTCTCAGCGACGGAGTCTTGGGGCATCTGTAGGACACAATACAACGAAGTACCTCTCGATTGTCTCTTCCTTGATCTTTGGCGGCCTAGAACCCCAACAAAACCTGCCTCTCCCTCAAGCCTCAGGGGGTCCCTATCCCTAAATATTCAACCAATGCTCTGTCTCTCCATTTGTAGACTCTTTTGTTTTCCCTCTTGAACACGTGCTCTCGAAGGTTCTACTTTCTTTCTTGGTCTATTTTTTTTGTTTTTTTTCTCACCGACGAGCGGATGGCCGGGGACACCTCCTCCTCCGAAGCCGAAGCGCTTCTTCCTCCTCCGCCGCCCGGCTTCCCGGGCAGGGCGCCCTTCTTAGCCGCCTTCTTGGCTGCCTTCTTGGCCGCTTTGGTAGCGGCCTGAGGGGCAACCAGACGGATGGACAGACAGACAGCCGAGGAGGACCGAAGGGAGGTGGATGATGATCGACGAGAACGCGTTAATGCAAGCTGTACGTCGGACACAAAGTGGAAGAGGGAAGGTCGCCTCTCAGCCACACAAGAGGACTGACTGCTCGCGCGGAACGAGAAACTGCGAAGAAAACGACAGATTCCCCACCGCCTCAAGCGGCAACGGCCACAGTTAAAGCAGCAACAGCAAACTATCCAGCGATCAAAACCGCCAAACGAAAACACCAGCAAAACAACAATGGCGAGGTCACAGCTACAATCGAAACACAGCACGAACGATGCGTATTCGATCGCACGCACCTTAGACCCAGGGGCCCCCGTGGCGCGGGGGATGGACTGCACGGGGCCGGGTGAGGACAAGTTGTGTCCGCCCGTCGCTTGTCCCTCGATGTCCCCTGACGACGACGGCGACGCGGCGGCGGCGGTGTCGTGTTTGGTTACGTATGTTGCCTTTCGTGTAGAGTCTGGCGATGGTTTGGGTGTTTGTTGACTGACGGTTTGCGCTGAGATCCGCGTGGACTCGTACGACTCAGGTTGAACCGGACTCGCATAACAAGGTTAAAGAAATAATTTGATCGCTCGGCTACGCAGCCTTTCGATTTGAGAACGAAGCCAGACCGCCGTCTGCATGTTCTGCGACAAGGTTCGCCTTCAGAACCTAGCCGTGGAAGGGGCGTAGAGTCCACAACATCTATCACCATGTCCCTCGTCGCCACACAACTGTTTACACCATGGCCCACAATCCCGAAAAACGAAAGGAACCCAAACAACATCATTGGATGTAGGACACGAACCGCAGAAGCAGCAACAGCAGTAACAGCAAAAACAGCACCAAGACGGAAAGCAAACTCACCGCCGAGGGCAATCTTGGGCCTGACTCCAGCTCTCTCTCCAGTTCGCAAAGTGTTGTCCTTGGTGTGCTTAGGAGATCCCCCCTGCTGCAACAGTAAATATTCCATGCGCCAGAGAGCGCGTTAGGAAGGGCCCGAGAGGAAAGCGGAAATCAGCACTTTCAGGAGCTTTGCCCCGGGATGGCTTTCGGCATCTCGGAGAGACGGGGTAAGAGGGTCCGCCCCGGGATAGAACGCGTGAGCCAACTATGGTCTTAACGACATGCGTCAGAAGGTGGACGAGGGGAAGAGCGAGAAGGACTCAGCAGCACTTGACCCTGTTCTAGATAGACATCACGTGAAATGACACAATTCCTGAAAGAAACCCTTCACGACTGTGTCTTCTTTCCATCGCTAACTCGTACGAGAGGAGCGGGGAATCTCATGAGACAAAAGGGGTCTTGCTACAATACGTTGTCGGAATTAACCACAATCTAGAAGAACTTAGTAGGCTAGAAAACGCACGTACGAAGTCGGTTTCGAGCGGGTTCAAGTTACAGTCAAAAGGGCCATGACGCGCCAATAATGTCCTGTGCAGAAAGGGGGTCCGAACGAGCTGCAGGTCCGAACGAGCTGCAAAACGTTCGCAGCGTGTGCTACAACGGCTCAATTCTCACCATTTTCCTCAGAGGGGAAACGAGGGCCTCCGCAGCCTTAGCGACCTTCTGCTAGCAGGATGTTAGCCGGAGACGCATGTCACAAGGGGGCAGGAAATACGTTTGCGTTTGAGTGCACGAGAAGAGCTGCGTTGAAGTGGTTGGGCCGACGATTATGGCGATGTTTTGGATCGGGGGTTCGACCGGCGGGTTACCGTCGTCGGCAAGGATATGGGCCAATGTGGCGGCGTCGGTGGTGGTGGCATAGTCATGGTAATGGAGCTCGTGATGTGGCAACCGCGACTAGCATACGGAGGGAGGTTGTGATGGTGTTTACCATCATATCTACATATATAAGCGCGAGGGATTGTCCGGCGAGGAGTATACCGTGCAACCGACGCTGGGCGCGAGGAAGAACGCGTTTCCCTCTGCGCAAAATGAGGATCAACGACGCGTCTCCAGCATACTTAGCATGCCATAATGGGCGCATTGCGGCCGCGACTTGCTGAGAGTGCACCACTATTATAGTGTTCCGTGCTGCAGGGCACGCGGTACCGATGTGCATGGTGGCGTTGTCGATGAAATCCGGAGACGATACAGGCGGCGCGGGCACACACGGAAGGCCTTGGGGGCCTGCATCAGCAAAGCTCCCTTGCAGCATCCTTAGAACACAAACCCTCGGTTCGCCCGCGCGACGCCGGGGCACAAGCATCCATCAACCACCCAGGATAGCAACCCGCTGCTAGCGCTTGATTACCGTATCTTTCGCGTTCCGCAACAAATACCTGTCCCGCGTAAACTCTTGGTGGAAAACATCTACAATCCACGTCCCACGTCAGGTAGCACGCACACATGTAGCCTAATACCTTGACACTTCCCGGGAGAGGGTAGGGCCTGATCATGATGTTCGCCTCCCCCGTGTAGAGCTTGTTGTCAGAGACGTCGTAGTCCGGATCCTCGGTTGTGGCTAGTGCCCTACCCACGGCCTGCTCGTACTCTACCACGCGGGGCTGAAACCAAGAAACAAGGTATTGAGGGGGGCGTGTTTTGGCATCGTACGGACCAGAGCTAAGGGTTAGCAAGGCAGCTCCGTGTTGGGGGGGGAGTTGTCCTGGAAAGCAAAAAGTTGTAGTGCTCGGTCTCGGGGGCTTTCGAACATCTGTCATGCCAGTGAGGGGTAGCGGGGTAACATTTGCAGCACGTGCGCTGGCTGACATTATCGCAGACAGCACAGACTATTTGTTGTACGAGGCGCTTCGGGGTCGGATCAAGGGAAAACCAACACCATCAATCCCACACAGCAGAGTGGGTGGGCGCAGAGGTACGCTGCGTGGTATGCTGGTGGAACCGACCAAGCCCCAGCCTCTGCTCTACTCGATTCTTTGGGTGCCTAACGCCATCCAGATGGGTTGGTGCATGTATTGCGTGCTTGCTGGGCGCGCTTTGGTCACTTTCAGTTTCATCCAAAATCAAGGAACGTGTGTTTCTTGTAGGACCGAAACAACCTAAGAGCGCAGCACTCGATCGCTTTCCCGAGGTCTATCGTAGCGTACATCAGCGGCGAATGACACAATTTCGGTCTCTTGAGAGTCCACTTTTCTCGGGCTGGTCGCCCCTGTTCACACTCACCGTTACTGCCTTGCCGCCAACGAGCTTCGAGCCGTCCAGTATCCCTTCCACCAGGCCGGATTTGGTTAGGATCCACACCGAGGTAAGGAACATCACCGCCACCTGATTGCCACGTCAAGTCACCAAAGCAGCGGCGAGGGTGTGACCATGCAGGTAATGGCAGCTGGCAACACAAACATCTACGTGTGATCACACACAGCAGCAACAGTTCCAAAAGGTATACAGGTTCACACTCAGATGGGCGAGGGAAAAACGTGCAAGTGACTTGGATGGGCAAAATCCAATAAAGAAGATCCATGACATGCTACTCACGTGCGCGATGGCGGTCCAGCCAGCGTAGAGAGGGACTTCGAAATTCCACGGCTTCGCTTGGCAGAAAATCTCTTCGCTTTCGCCTTCGCCTACCGGGAACCCCACAGTGTCCCAGTCGTCTTCGCACACGTCCAGGGTTGCCTAACACAAAACAATCCGATTGCACAGAACAACGCGCTTCGTGACTACACAATAACTAGAGAGAGGGGATAGTTGACCACGAGCGAATAAATGTTGGGCGGACAGGTTAGTCCTTTTCGGTTCAACGAACGCTGACATGGGACTGGTGTTCTCGATGAGGATTTCCACAGCAGTCGACTACATTTTCCACGTAGACGACATAATAACTAGAGAGAGGGGATGATTGAGCGAAAAAATGGTGGGCCGACAGGTTAGTCCTTTTCGGTTCAACGAACGCTGATGTGGGACTGGTGTTCTCGATGAGGATCTCCACAGCAGTCGATTACCTCTTCCACGTATCTAGTAGGTGGGGGAAATGCGTCGAAAATAAACGCCACGGGAAAACGATACAGCCAACACAAGCTGCAACACCGTTGGGCGAATCGTCCTCCCGCTTTCTCAGAAAGAAACCATGATCAGGACGAACACAAGTTGGCATGTGGAATCCTGTCCCTACCAAGCTGCCACTGTTTTCTTCCCTCTCTCTCAGAAATGTTGACCAAACCATAACCATCAAACCCGTTCGGATGTCGAGGTCGGCCGCCACCTTCACCACCGACGCGATTGAAAGGCGCCAACGATTTCTGGTCCATGCCTACACCACCTCTTCGCTGTCATACATGGAGATAGATGGCTTCACGTTGTACATACAATAGTGAGGCAATGACCGGTTTGTCTGCCCCCAAAACGCCTCAACATTCATACATACGCGCTTGTGAAGAAGCTATGACTCCAAACTGCAACGAAAGCACCGATGCCAACGTTGGGCAGCAACAACGGCTGCAGCAGCATGTACACCATGGCGACACACAAGCGACCACCAACAACAACCCTGCGCACCATGAACAAGGTAGCTGCGAGAGAGCTTTCCATGTCACCCAGCTTCCCCTGGATCCTACCCCAGAAGGCCGCGATCGAGATGCCCGATGCCACAGAAAGCAGCAAGCACATCACGGCGATGTTGTGGAGCCCAATGCTGTAAATAGATCCAGGTCCAGTGTAGGACATCTGCATATAGAAGCGTGTGTGTGGACGGCGGGCGCGATGATTTGAACCCTTTTCATTCGGCAAATTATCCCGTGTTCTCCCTGTGGAGACGGATCACTAAACGAAGGCGCCTCAAGGCTCTTGCGGCAGACGGGCGATCGGCGAAGGGTTAGGAGACCCATAGAAAAGCAACGGAAATGGCGGTTTGTAACGTTCGCATAGGAACCGCACCCCTTGTTGTGGGTGGTCGATCCTGGTGTTGGAGAATATACGCATCTGCGGTGTCAGGCGCTTGCTCCACGGAATATGTTCCATAGTAAAAGCATGCAAGTGCAGCCCCAAGTCGGTCTACCTTCATGGAAACGGCAAACCGTACCTTGACCGTCTTGAACATGATGATGGCGATGAACGCCGACACCACGAACAGCCCCACGGACGCATCGGCCGCCCCAGTGGCTCCGTTACCGTACACCGCCTGGGTGGTTCAGAAGCAAAAGAAAACAATTGTTGTGATCCTTTTCGTTCCTGATATTTTGTGTGTTGCAACTCAGGTGTAGCGTTGTTGCCAGTATTGTGCTGTCGGTTTCGTGCTTCGTTTTGCCCCCATCACGCCAGTCTGATCTCCCAACCTAGTCAAACGGTTCAGGAGTCCTGCTGTGTCATATAGACGGAAATTCCACCTGGCACGATACATCCATCAACGACGTGGCGTCTCACAAGCAGACTCGTTTCAATGCACGGACTACCAGTGTTCCACTCAACCCACACAATACTGCTGAGTCCTCCAGCAGACCGTCTGCACCACTCACCGACTTTTTCCTGTAAATGCCGTCTCCGAAAGGACTTCCGATGTCTTTTGTCCCCTCCCATCCGTCGAGGCACCCCTCCGTAGAGTAGGCCTTGTCGATCACAAAGCTTTTCCACCCGATGTCCACCTATGGTTGTGCAGTTTACAAGATTGAACGGACATTTTCAGGTTGTGATCACTTCGAGAGGAAATCGCTGTCCATCCCCTCCCTCGCTAGGGTGAGATTTCGCGTTTGAAAGCTTGTTTCGTTCTCACACGCATTTTCTACCATGGAACTGATCTGTACGAGTGCGGAGTTAGTGAATGTCAGTGGACGAACTCTACTACGGCTACCGTAACAACAGAGCCAGCAGCAGCACCAGCAGCATCAGCATCAGCATCAGCATCAGCAACAGTAGCAGCCCACCCCCATGTAGTCTTGGCCGGGCACGCACTCCGCCCCCTGCGCGACGGCATCCTCGACCCCCGAAGTCAGCAGGCAGTCGCAACGATCTATCGTAAACTCGAACATACCCCGCGTAGAGCCTGCCGTTGTACGGTTTCGGGTAGGCCAGAGATTACAAAACCATGCGGACATGACGATGATTTCTGTAGTAGTGCGTTTCAATCAAAACTGCACGTTTGCGTTGAGAAATGTCTTTGCAACAGAAACTGGTCGGACGTCTCCGCCGGCAAATACGGTTTCATCCTCGTACCCGTGGAAAAAAACCACGGCTCGTTCTCTATCAAATAGAAGCATTTGTCTCCTCATGCCCAAGGGTTAAACAGCGGGGAAGGGAACGCTAGAGACCGTCATACTACCGTCAACATCGCGGTATGGGTGCACAACCGTTAGCATACTGCGCTATGCAACAGCGCCAGAAACAAGGCACATGCTTACAATATGAATTCAACAACATGCGGAATGATCGGACAATTCCGACCAGCGAAAAATCGTTTTCTATCCCATTCATCAGAGAAAATAACACACGGACACCCCGTGGGTCATATTTTCTTCGGTTGCAAGGTAGGGTTGCCAGAGAGGAGCCGAACGGTACGGGGTCTTCACGTTTGCTGCAACATGTCGAAAGAGAACGACATCGCGACAGATGCTGCAAGGCGACCGCGTGGCACGTCAAGAGGCTCGCTCCCCCTAGCACCCAAAGAACATGACATCCAACCACTGGTTCTCAAATCAAATGTCGCGTACGCCGGACGAAAAACCCACCGATCGAGACGGCTACGATGGCGAGGACTCCGGCAGTCGCCAAACCCACCAGGGCCACCTGGAAGTATTTCTCGCCGACAGCCTGCACTGCCTGGTTCCTCATCGCAAGCTTTGGCGGCGCCATCTTTCTCTATGGCGCTGCGAGGTGGATTAGTTGGGCAGGGGGGGGAGGTGCTGGTGGTGGCTGTTGCTGGGGCCGGGTCCTTGATGTGGTGGGCTCTTGAGTGACTCATACCCAACAGATCACGCCTCGTTCAAGACCCCTAGACCCATTCCGATTTACCCCGTGAGCTTTCGTCGTATTAACGTCCGGTCCACTTGGCCGAGTGAAGCACCATAATCTTCGTTCGTGATGATGAAGATGGAAGAGTTGATGTATTTCGCGGTACTTACGGAAGTATCGTGGGGTAGTGGAAACGTGTGTGGACAATTGCTTTTGTGCGGGATATATTACAACACCACAAAATGTGCGTCATACTCAATGGCTGCGAATGTCTAGCACGGTACTGGAAGCCACCGAGTGTCTGGTAGCGGAATCAAGGCACAACAAAAACTTATAGATCCACCTACAGCGATGTAAATTCCTGTGTGGATGCCGTATGCCCGCGAGCACCGGTGTCGCTGTTACAACGATTGCGTACGTAGAAGAGGTGGTGTTTGCTGACATGTCACGCACAACATAATACTAAGTTTGTAGTTCACACCGCGGAGGAATCTCGCGTCACTGGGATCCTTGGCATAAGACGCACTGAAGTACATAGCACGACCTCCTTCGCTGTATCAAAATAACACGCGGTTCGAGTACCTTCTTCATACATCATTCGCTGGAACGCAATGACGTGTAGGAGTTATGGCGTTTTGCGCCTCGAGCTGAAAGAGCGAGCTGGAGAAACAAGGAGACTCTCAGAAACAAGAGTACGCCTGCTCGAGCGTCGTGATCGGTAGATTTTATACGCTCCGCTTTCTAGACATTATCGCCCCCGAGAGCCCCCTCCCGCCCAAACGAAGAGGAGGGTAGAGACTACACGGCGCAGCTGCTGTCAGATTGAGATCAATTTCGCTGACCTAGTGTGTAAAACTACAGTACACCGCTGTTCATCAACTTCGACTGACACACCCACTCTATGTTACATTGTGCGTCAAGGTCGGTGTATTGAGGCGCCTCGACTGCCATCAAGGGACTGGCTTCTCGACAGACAACCGCACTTTGCGGCGAGTGGAGGTGAAAGTTTGGCGCAATATCTGGCACCCCTTGTACACAATCAAAATGTGCAAGCACGGTATCGGTATGGTTGAGTGATCCCCACACAAATGCTAAATACGAATATATATATCGTACCATATGCCCTCCCTATTTGCGTACGTAGACATACAGTAGGCACAGCAGTAGACAAAACAGCTGTGTGTTTACTTTTGTACGTACATGCAAAGGTTCGATGACCCGTCTCGAGGCAATCAACCCACCCTCGCTTCAATAGGTGCACCGAGGTTCAGTGGATATTTCTTCCTTGCAGCCTGTAATACGGTGTCCGATTCGCCTCACCTCTCCTTCGTTCGTGACTCCGCCGTCGTGCAGATTATGCCGAGAGCCGAGGCTGGGCCTCGAACGCCTCCGTCGGAGACAGACGGTGCCCAAGACACCGGTACACCTCACAGCCTGCGCTACCGGCCGCGTGGATTTCGTGGATTGTGCAGCGCACCCACGCACGCTCAGGCGTGCCCAATCCCTACACGTGCAAAATATCCCGGACAGCTTCTTCACGGCTAGTATATCGAACGGCACTGAACGGAGTCTCAGTGCGCTGCTATTTGGACGAGATGTCCAAGTTGGCAGCGGCAGTGCTGCTGTGTCTCCCAATAAAACCCCACTCCCGCAACAGCAGGCCACTTTTCCTCGTGTTTCGCCTTGCCTATCGTTGTGGCGTCTGCTGCTCCACATAAATAGTTTGAAGGATGAAGCCGACGAGAAGTTTAGACGACAGACGCGTAGAAGTGTGATGAGTGTGAGGTGTGAGAGGGGAGAGATGGAGAAGAGAGAAGAGAGAGAGAAAAGGTGCATGTGTCGGTTCGAAAACCAAACCAAACCGTGTCGCCGTTTCGGGTGCCGATGACCGATGACACCTATTATCCTATTATGCGCAGACGTGACGTTGCCCAGATGGAGGTTCTCGCCAAAACGGTCAGTGTAAAGACTAGCAGCCCCGCTGAGGCCGGATGCCCATGCGCCCATGCGCCTATGCGGCCGCATGGGCAGAGAAGTAGAGAACCCCAACGCGCCATATGTTTCGGTTCGGAAGAGAACCCACCACATGTTTCGGTTCAGGAACCCCACCAATCTTCGCACTCAGTGTACGTACATGTTCTGCTGCATGTTGTCTACCAGGTGATCCGAGTGAGTTCGAGGACATGTACCGTGACTCGGTGTACGTAAAAAACGGGTGGAAGGTGGCAGAGGTTAGGAGGTCGCAACACTTTACGACGCAGTTCCCAGACATTGCGCTACTCGGCAGTCCATTGACATCGGGCGCTCGCGTTGTTGGTGAGATTCTACGGTCGTACATTTTTAGTCTAGTCATTTTGTCAACCGGGCAATACAGGACGCTCCAAGCCGACAAGGCCCGAGCTCGAGGACAACAATATGAACTACAACATCGAAGACGACAACGCCAGCATCTATAACATCGACAACAGCAGCAGCAGCAGCAGCAGCAGCAACAACAACAACAACAGAAGTGTCAGGTCGAGGGCGGCCTTGGAAACCTGTAGCCAACACAAAGAGGCAACGAGAATTCCGTTCTCCTCTTCCGCCCATTATAGCGACGAGCACCGGGGTACCGTAGACCCGCCGCATGGTTGTTCACCCTCTCGGTGGCCGACCCCCCAGTCTGTTCGGTCCTCCAGCGGGTACCTGTTCTATGCCTGTGAAGCCGGCGATTCTCCCGGCGGCAGCTCCCCTGAACGAGCATCGGTTGAAGGAAGGAACCAGCGGTCGCCGCGGCGTGGGCGGCAGCGGCGGCAGCAGCGGCAGCAGCGATGGCGGCGACAACCAAGGAACCGACAGAACAGAGAGCAGGATTGGCCACGTTCTAACCAAGGCACAAAAGTACGTCGCACGGAAAACACGGGTTCTCAACAATGCCCTAGCGACCCCAACAGAGGCCGGAACGTCCCCAACAACAGCGGGGGCAACAACCTTCGTAGTGGACTACCGGTCCTCGTGGGAGATGTAAGAGGAGCGATGGTAGCGGTGTGGTTGGCGTGGGGCGTACGAATAGACGCGGTGAGAGAAAATCTCCGGCGGCAGGAGAGACGGCTGCAGGCTATTCACCGGGCGGAAGTTGCGAAGGTGACAAGTGATACCGGGCGTGTCACTGTCTTTCTCGCGTAGGGCACGAATCCATGAAATACTCGCACGTAAGAGACAAAATCACATTTTTCTCTTCCTCTCTTCGCGTCTCGAATGCACCATTTCCCGCGGACGGAGGCTGACACCCTACGTGGGTCAAGAGGCTACGAGCCCTGTTTTTCCCTCGTAGCTTATGGGAAGCACACATGTCGGTTTTTCTTGTGTACAGTAAGACCTTGGCCACGCTGCATAGCAGTCCCAGCCGGCTGCCCGTGGTCGGTGTGGAGGTGAAAACAATATTTTCGGCGCGAAATTTCACCTTAGAATGGACATTAGCAGATGCGCGCTAGGCGTCAGGTGCAAAACAATGAAGCTGGCCCGGGGTGAGTTGTGCAAGGCGTGAGCTAGAAGAACACTCACAATGCTACGAGGAGGCTTCCAAGGACTGATACGCGTAGAACCTGGGCAACGATTTCCCCGCCCGCGAACCGCGTGGACGGAAACGGGTGCCTTGCACATCACTCATGGCATCGCTAAACAGAAATAATGGTTTCGCTTTCCACTGTCCGCTTCCTTACCCCGATTTCCCTTTCACTGCGCGCTCGCGTAGCTGGAGCGTTCAACTCATGCGGAGGCATGCACCGGAGATAACGCGCTCGACAGAATCACCCCCCAGGTGCTCGATTGCATCGTGAGAGAGGCGGCGTTGAGGCAAATCGGAGAATCGGAGGGGGCGAACGGTGTAAGGAGAGAGGCTCTACAGGCCAGGTTAGCCAAGATAGAAACATCTGTATTAATGTCGCGAGGAACGTCCTTTCGTGTAACCACAGCGCACAAGATCAGTACTGATAAGGCAGGAAGAAATCCTGCGTGATTTGTAAGTCAAGTATTGATACCGAACTGAGCCTCCGAAGTGTTGATCTTTGACGAGTCCCTTTCACGAATCTCGCAGGAGATTTACGAATCTTGCTCCATTGACAAACCCTACAAATTCAGCTCTTTAGGTGATTTATGGCTTAGCACGTCGATGACACCTGCGACCGTCCGGAAGATAGATAACATTTTTGTTTCTCGTTTTGAAAATTCGACAACCTGAAGGCAAGGTTCGTTGATGTTCGTGGATTGGAATAGCGATTTCCAGAACATTTATCAAACTTTCAACCCCAAATCGCAGAGTACGTCGCCTTAACCAACCCTCCGCGCATGATCCCCTCCCGTTTGGTGCCCGGATGCAATATGCAACCGAATGATCATTGTTCGTGGTGGTGACACTTCCTGCTCATTCCTGACGCAGAAAACAGGGCTCCGTCAGGAGGAAGTACGCTTGGAGATACCGAAGACCGATGCTGGAATCGGGACTGCGAGAGAGGCAGGCGGCGGGACTACTCGCCCTTCGAAATGCGGCGGAATCACTTGAGGTACTTATGAGTCTGGGCGAAAGGGTGTCCGCGGGATTGACACTGTGGTGCACCCTTGTGACCACAGGTTCGATCGTGTTTTCCGTTGTGCGGTAGCACGTGATATCGGGGTCCGCAAAGTTCTATACCTCTCCTCGTCGTCGTGTCCGCACTCTACTGACGGGATACATACGTCAGTCGCTTCACATTGACGTTGGTTCACCTTTCTTTCGAAATGCCGCAGAACTGAAGTTGACGGGGACATGAACGATAACGATTGTGAGATTACATGTACCCCCGTTCAGGAAACGAGTTCAGTGTTGATACCGTGCGTCGTGCTGGTTTTGACCATTTTCTCAGGCACAGCTGGTTAGAGCTCGCGATGAGACTGTGCGGCTCCTCCAGTTGCACCTCTCTCGTGCGCAGCGCATAATCGCCTCTGGAGTTGCACGCACAGCGGGACTACAAACGTAAGCGTTGTGTTAGCCACAGTCTACCAACAAACAACTGCAGCTAGCTCTGAATCTGTTATCCGTCCCTATTTCAGTTGTGAGACAATTGGGGAGCCCCACAACGCGATTGTTCTGTGAGTCGTGACAAATTCCCACGGTTCTTCGACGGCAGCGATAGGGAAAACCGCTTTGATATGAACACCGTGAGTGCCTTTTCGGTTGTTCGTTGCTGGGTTAGAGCTCTGGTGTTGGCGCCATGCAGTGTTTACACCCGCTAACACCGGTGCTGTCTCGGATACTTTGAACAATGAAACTTCACGTCCAAGCCCAAGTTTCAGATATATATGCCTTCGAACCCCAGAATATGTACATTGAGATTCTCCGGTAGTGGGCAGTCTTTTGCCGATGACCGTCAAGTACATGGAGTTTCTGGAGGAGGTGAACGCCTTTTCGTTCATGTATGGGGGAATACCGGGGCACGGCTGCAGTAGTAGACTATATGATGAAGTCCTGTTGATTTCCTTGGAAATTCGACCCTTTCACCGCATCACATGCCCGCCCCCGAAGCTCCTGTAGGCTTCCAGTGACTATCGAGCCGCCTCCACTCTCAGTGCCTACAAGGTTTCCTTGAAGACAGATGTATTTTGTATCTCGCTTTGGTTGTGCCTCTCCCGCACAAATCGGTCCCAATCACTAACTCCAGACCAACGCACAGGGGGTGTCCAGTGGGAGCATCACCCGTGCTGCGAGAGGCAGACTTCGTCAAACTCGGGAATGTGCTTCTTCATGCACAAGAGACCGCCAGCTGTTCCATCGAAAGGGCTTTACAAACCAACGGGGATCAATCCGCTTCGGCCGTCTCGAATGTTCTGGACGACGAAGTGCATGGAAACGCATGTGGAAGCACCCTTGCGGTCACCGCTGCTCGGTGTCTGTGGTGCAATGCCGCCCCGGCGGACACGGGAACGCTGTTCCGTCGGTACGGCAACCCCGGCGGCATTCGGGCGACTAGGCCCTACAACCGCATGCGAACAACCACAGCACGACACCATTGCGAGGACCTACCACAACCTCACCGACGGCTTGCGAGAGATATTCAGTATCTAACGCCAAGCCACAATCGACCCCACAACCGCAAGCAAAGAAAAGACAGAGAGATAGAGGAAGGACCAGGAACGCGCCGTTCGTGCGACCAAGCACCGCCCCCTTCGCCGATGGAAAATATCTCTTCCAGTCAGGCCGCAGCGTTGGAACACTCACCTTCTCCTAACAAGCCGTTGGGTGGAAGAGAAGACGTGCTGTTTGACCAGCATGGTGGTGGCTACACCACACCGGGCGCACCTTTCTGCTCTTGGGGGTGTGCCAGGAAGTGGAACGACCGATTTTCGCCCTTGCAGACCCGACACGAGAGGGGTCTACGGATCGACATCGCAGCAGGAAGGGTTGTCCGGAAATAGGTGACGTCATATGCCACCGTGCGTCCGAAGTCATTACGTTAGTGTTGTCGGCCTTGAAGCCTTCCGGCTAGTCTCGCCGCTCATGACGTACGCCGTGCTCGCGCCGATGAAACAAGAGAGCGTGCCAATAACTTCGTCTTTCTGTATTGTTTCCGAATCACGCATCTAGTACGTTTGCCCTCGCAGACGGACGTTCGCAGAGCAGCGAGAGGAGGGGGGGGCGAGGACATGGCAAAGAGAGCACACGGGCAGAGAAGTGCCAGACGTGCTAAACGGGTCGCAACGGAGTGATTGTGCAAGGATCGAAAGTCAGGATGCCGCGGAAACCTTGCTCTCGCAGGTGGCTTGGGGCTGGTACAAAAAGCGGAGTATACCTGACACGAAACTACAATACTGTAGAGCTGCGGCAAAGGAGGTAGCGGTAGTTCCGGCAGGGCAGTGATGCTTATTGCACAAACGAGTGAATCTGATCGTGAGCATTTCCGGGCTTCATGGCGGTCCGATCAAAGCCCCATCAGGTCCGTCGAACGCTCCGTCTCTACACTAAACTTGTTCCTTTGTCGTCTTGCACCGGTCGCCCCGGTCGAGTGATTTCAGCGAGTCATCCCTCTCCTTGGCTTTGCGCGAAACTAGCCGAAGGGAACATAAGTTAACCCCTCGAGAATATTATATTCTGAGAAACTTGTTGACACATGAGAGGGTAAACATGAGAGTCGTGGCTACACCTCCTGTTCGTGAGAAATTCAGTTAAAACCAGGTACCGAACTACAACAATCCGATTTTTTCGAGCGAGCTAGCATCCCCACGCGGCTGCACTCTCGACCGGCTGACCCGGCAACGGCTGACGCCGCGTAAAACAACTGCGCCTCAATTTCGCCGAGAAGAATACAATAACACACGCACAAACGAACAAGGGACACAATGCCGAAACTTCTAGCACGAAAGTATCTCTTCACGTTCGATCTCAGCGCTGTCGCCAACGTCGAGAACACCAGCATCAACATCCAACAGAACAGGCGTCCATGTTTGCCCAGAGCAACTGCCGCAACTGCTATTGCTGAGACAACCGCTTCTTTACCCGCGACGGGACTCTCACGGCCCATTTTTCGGCGTGTACTGACAAACACAAGAGGAAAAATCTCCTCAATGCCGTCCACCTCTTCTGCCACCGCCCCGGCCCCCGTTCCTCCCTCCCCCCCCCCTGCCTCCTCTCCCCCCTCCCCGACCTCTGCCGCTCCCGCCACCGCCGCCCCTGCGTCCCCGACCACCTTGGCCGTCATTGTCGTCACGATACCCATCGCCCCGGCCGCCTCCTGCACCTCCGGTATTGCTCCCTGCCGACGGCCTAGCGGTTGCCGTTGGGATGCGGACGGGCGTGTCGGTGGAGGGGAGGCCGGATCGAAGGGGCGCAAACAGCTCCTCCTCGCTGACCCCGCCGCCCGTCGTGTCCCTCGACCTCGAAGCCGCTGCGCCGCCGCCGCCGCTGTAGCCGTTACCGCCGCCGCCGTTGCTGCTGCGGTTGAAGCTGGCGTGCCCGCCGGCTGGAACGGCGCTTCGGCGAACCGCGTCTTCCTGCTCGCGGCGCTGCATGACTCGCAGTTGTTTCTGGTCTGTCTCCGAAGCCGTGGTCTACATAAAAATAAAAATAAATCCAATGACAAAGACGACGGACGGGCAAGAACAAAAAGAGGTGAATGGGCACCAAATATGACATTTCGAACAAACAAATCTGTCAGCAGCGATGAACTCGGGCTTGTTGAGATCGCAGGTGGGTCGTGGTCCGAACTCGAGCTTGTTGAGAACGCAGGCAGGTGGGTGGTCCGAAAGCAACAAAAAAAATATCAATACCAAGTACTCCTTGGAACTATTATAGGCGTTGCCGATATCATCGCAATCAGGACCACTACCTGTTCGTGTTGACCCTGTCGGCCGTGCTGTTGCTGCTGCTGCCACCCGTAGCCGCCGCCACTGCCACCGCCCCACCCATCAACCCCACCCCCTCCCTGCCGCACACCGTTGATCTCCGCTGCGAGCATCTCGGAGCTGTAGTCTTGCTGGGCGCCCGCTCGCCTCGCCCCCGATCTCAGCAAGGTAGACACCGACTGTTTTCGTTGTTTTTCGTTGTTTTTCGTGCGGGAGCGAGGCAGGCGACAAGACGCGTAAAACAAAGCTGGTTCGTCAACGCGGATTGTCCGAAAGTAGGCGTTGCTGGGGGGGGGGGGCGGCCAACGGGTGTGCTTACACGAGGAAAATTGAAACCCCCGATATCGTCCCAGACGGGAACAAAGGGGTGTGGGTTGGGGTCCTAAGGTAAGCAAGGTGCATATTTGCGGCAAAAACGACGAGGTGCACTCCGCAGGACGGGGGAGAAAAGGCTCCTGGCACACGCGGGTAAAAGCAACGGATCTTGCGAACACCGACGGCCTTTGAACAGTACATATTCGCCAATATCCGACGTGCCTGCGGGTGCTTAACGTACTCAATCAGCGCCGCAGTCACGTGCGTAACTTGTACAGACTTGAACGCAAGCCTTCGACTGCGTTAGCATCCCCAACAGGTTATCTTTGCTGCGACTTTTGTGTGCATACACTTTCGTACATGACGTGGAAATATATAGTTGGGCATTGAAATCGTTTGCCGCGATTCGTTGGCCTTGTCCTTGGCGCAGGTAGCAACACGTGTGTTGGTGTTTCGCCTTGCCTGGATGAGGTCTCGGCCGTTGTCCGAAACGTCCTCCTGCGGATGCGTGATCTTCCGCAGCAGCAGCCTCTCCATGTGCACCCGGAGGTACTTGACGAGGGTGGCCGCCCGACGCGCCGCTCTAAAGTGTAGCCACTTGTCGACAGTGATCGCCTGTGAAGCATCGGTGGAACATGTGGCATAGGGTCCCGCACGTGTGCTGGGGGGTCAAGAAGGCGGTCACTTTTGGCTTGTACGGTCAACGTGCGGTACCGTCCTTGCAAAACACGCTGCAGCACATTTCCTATGTAACTTCCGCGCTGTCGAAATATCACCGAGCACGCAGGACTACGGGTGAGTGCAAAATTTGGGTATCACACAAGAGCGGAATGCATTTGTACAACCATGTGCCGTTGTCTCGTCTCCATCTTCGTGTAAACCGATCCGGACGGGACTGTCATGCTTCACAAATCGCGCAACCCGCGCGGTTTTTGGGTCAACGCTGCAAGACGTTGCTTTAGGGCGTACAACCGTCAGCGGCTGTCAACCCATGGCTGACTTGGGTCACACATCTATGGTTGATTTCCTCATGAGAGTCCCGTCACATCGAACGGCCATCCTCGGAAACAGAAATCGGTGACGGGAACGGCAGAATCCGGCTTGGGAAGCCGGGTGGCAGTATGCCGTGCCCGTTGACCGTCAGAAAAACGGCACATGGTAATCTGAGTGACAGTTCTGGGGTCAATTTCTGAGTGAACTCGGCACCGTTTCGCGTCTCCAAATCCCTCCCCAGAACACCGTTTGCTGCCATGTGCCCGAAATATGGTACACCCAGATCAATACAACTGATGCAACGATGGCTTTGAACGACATGGGACGCAAACCTCATGCTCGTATCGTAGCGAGTTGCGGAATGCACACAGGTTTCACACGTGTTCTTCGCAAAGTACACCGGGTCGCAGACCGTGTAGCGGACGGCATGCAGAAAACGAACCTACCTGTCGTTCGTGGTGAACTTGCAACGAGCCCCCGAACAGCGCTAGCATGAGCGGCGTCACGGTCGTCATGTCCCGGATGTAAACCTGATAAGCAACCGCAAACGGAAAAATGACAAAAAACAAAACGTTAACCGTGGACGGCGTAGAGGCTAAACTCTCTGAACAGGACATCGAAAAAAGGCTGGAAAACAGAAAGGAAACGATCGGAGAAAACACAACCGAGACGAAGAAAATAAAGCAACTTGATACAACCAAAAGGGCACCAAAAGTATGTGTGTTGCTGTTCTTCTCGCTCCATGTCACTAAGCTATCTCCTTCTTCAGGCCCCCGGTGGTGTCGCGGCGCGAAACTTAAAAAAGCGGGGCATGTGGAGGGCGTAAAACGGTTGCTCTTGAGCAGTGTGAACGAGTGCGCAAAATAAAATAGTGTGGCAGAAACGCGACCCAAAACGACAGCACCAATCCGAAACCACACCCACACACACAACAGACGATGCGATGCCATCGAAGAGAGGATACCATGTTCACTCCAAGGTATAATTTTCCGCCTCGCGGTGCAGGAGGAAACAAAAAACAGTATAATTGCGACAATAGCGTAATAGACATGCACCACCGAGGAGCTCATTGGCCAATTTATTCGTTTGATGAGGACCTGCTACAGAGTTCACACCTATCAAAAGCACAGAAATTGCGGACTAGACACATCACCAAGGAGCTCATTGCAGTCCCCCATTTATTCATGTGATGAAGGCCTACCACAATGTTCACACACCTTGGACGTCTTGACCACCTCGTGGTATACCCCGTAGCGGCTGTCGAGCGCCTTCTTGTCGAAGTTCACCGTCATCGGATGCAAATACATGGCCCCCTTTCTGCCCTGCAGTGAAACCTGATGCAACCCCGAGTTGATTCATTTGTTCGACCCATCCGGATTGTGGATGACAAGGGTTATACGGGGCGAAGGTCGGCTTGTCGTTGATTCAAACATTCATGCAGGCGTCGACACAACAACGCCGCCCGCTTCCTGCCCTGCAGCGAAAACCGATTTTGTCGTCGGAACAAAGGCGGCGAGGTCCCCAGTCGAGCTCAAGCGTTCCACGAAGTCCGCTTAGCACAAACCTCAGGGTAAATCGGCACCGGGGCAGCCTTGCCCCCTTTCGTGGGTTGCGAGGGCAACTGCCCACCAGATCACCTTACCGGGCAACGCGTACCACAATAGCCAAGCACCTGGCCACCACGCCACGCGCCACTCACACACTTATCTCTGCCAACCTCCTCTGCCCCCCTAGACTGGCAGGCAGTGCCTGGCCCTATTGTTGGCGGAGTCTCGACGGACTACCAAAAGGGCTCCGTCTCAAAGGAGACAAGTGCATGCCCTCTCCTCCACGACAATAAACCCACTCCGACCGAAAACAACCAACCAATGAACCAGCGGATCACCTCGCCGGCGGTCTTCTCCGCCGCCCCCCCCTTGGAGCCGCCTCCGCCGGGTTTCTTTCCGCCCGAGCCGCCGCCGCTAGCCGAGGTCGACGACGGGCACAGGGCGGCCGGGGCAACGGTGACGTTGGGGTAGAGGCCGGCGCACACGACGGCCTTGATGAGCTGGATGTTTCCTCCGTTCACGTTGCTCGAATGCTCCAGTTGTTGGGGGTGGCCGCTGTGGCTGCCGCGGGAGTGGCGGTTCCCGCCGCCGCCGCTACCCCCGCCTGGAACAGCGAGTGTCGGTCGGGATAAGGGAGGGGGAGTTGTCACGATCATGTCGAGGGCTGTGTGCTGTCGGAGCTGTAGAAAGGGGAGGATTCAGAAAGAAGTGCCGCGTATGGCGCTGTTGATTTGGTGGTGATTTACGAACGGCTGATGACAGTGACATACGATACGACCCGACGAAAGAAGAGGATTGTATGACCATGCAGGTACGAAAGCCTGGCAAAGGTAGCGGTAGCGGGTGCCTGTCGAATTCTATACGGTGATAGCGCATCAAAGTGCAACGGATGGCGGGAAAATCTGTCCTTGCAGAGACGACAACAAGGCGGCGGGCGAGAAGGGCTGGAGAGTCTGGAACCCTGTTGGTGGAACCGATAAACGGAGAAGTAGTCGTGAACCCTGATTGGACCGCCACCTTTCTCACGCGAGCATGCCCACCGCCGCACCATCAAGTCTCGACAACGAAAACCTCACATGCCCCCGGACCCCAAAGCTGCCCTTGAGCCAAACTCACTCTCGATGAAACCGATGTCTCTCAGGAGCCCGCGGAACTGCCGCCTCATGTCCTCCACCATCACCAGCGTCTGCCGCGACAGGAAGTGGTCACGGATGTACTCCCGCTCCGCCCTCGACCCGCAGCCTCGGGCCAGCCTCCAGCCGTCGTAGGCCTTGAGGAGGGTCAGGTGATCAGACAGCGCCAGCGCGAACGTCCGCCGAGCCTCGTCGGCGATATCGCGCCTACGACCGGGTGAGCAAGATCAAGGGCAATGTAGGTGCAGGCAGAGGTCGTGATGTAAGACTTACGTCGATACATGGCGATGTACGTGAGGGAAACTCCCCCCCTCCCCCTCCCCCCTCTCTCTCTGGGTTTTCGTCGCTTGGCAACGACGTTGTAAAACAAGCCCCCCACTCGGTGTTTGCCATCGGGATTGGGTTTTCGTCGCTTGGCAACGACGTTGTAAAACAAGCCAACTCACTTCGTGAACTCGGCAACCAGGTTACCGTTTTTTTTTTTTTACCTCTGTTTTTTTTTTTGGCGGTAACCATAATGGTGGTCGAGTAGATTATGTTGTGCGGGGTCGAGAACCCTTACTCCGCGCAACGGGGGATGATCGCACCACGTTGTGTTAAAATGGTCAAGCTTCCTCGAGGCAGTTACACAGTGCTTACAACTGTCTCTGGAAGTGAAAGCACCAGAAAATAAATTAAGTCATACGTAGCTGTCATCCGTACGCAAGGAAGTAAGCACAAGATGCCGAACACCCTTAGCAGGATGCAGCTCACCCTTCATGCGACTCGCCAAATACCTCACGGCGCTTCGCGCTTGGTGATGTGAGAGCCTGGTCCGGTGAGAACCCGGCGTGCTCCGTCCCGGCTTTGTAGGGATGCGAGGTCAATGGTCAAACGACTACGGCATGCACGACTATGAGTACACCCCCCCCCCTCCCCCCTCAATCCGCCCCGGCATTGTAGGGATGCGAAATCAATGTCTAGACTCCACACGGAGGTACTATTTACGGTTGATGTAAAGAACTCATCAAGGACAGGACGTTCACGCGGGGGTCGTGTTGTTGGAAAATCAGGTCCATCCATAACCCTGTAAGTCAGCGACACCGTTTTTCACAAGGGGATACCACTTGTCTCAGATTTCTCCGAGCGCAGACACTACCACACAGCAGCCCTTGTTTTCTCCAGAAAAAAAAAAAAAAAAACGGCTTACTTGTCGAAGGGTGCGACGAAGGGGTTGCGACAGCTCATGGCGGCGGCGATGGTGATGGCCGGCTCGACGCAGCCGAATATGGCGCCGTAGAGCATCATCTTGCCCACGCGCGGCTCAACCGGAAGCGTGGCGAGGTGAAAGCCCAGCGCGGTCAGCACCGGCTTGTCGTCCTCGTCGAGCTGAGTCGCCTAGACACGACAAGCATAAGGATGTGCAAGACACAAGCGAGGAAGGTTTTGGTAAAAGGGAGAAGCAAGCAGTGTGCCATTGCGGTCGAACAGAGACGGCCCGGCTGATAATAGCGAGGGTCTGAAAAGGCGTACATGACACAAGCAATAAGACAACGTGCGTGACACAACAGCCAACACACCACCGATTGGAAACCCCGAGGCGCATGCATTGTGCGTGTGCTCGAACGGAGTGAGCGTTTCACATCAGCGAAGGCGACAAATATTGTACTATCGCAAACGCGGGAGGGCATCGACGAGGCACAAACAGCGGCGAGGAAGCCCTTCACTACAAGCGTGTACGAGCAGGGACGAAAATGACACGAAAACTATGCGTGTAGTCACACCGGCAGCTGGCGCAAAAGCACGTTCTAGAATTTTCCAACACCCACTGGGGTTCGGCGAGAAGGGTTTGGCAACCGACAGCAATCGGTCACGCTCAGAAGATGTCAATACAAGAAACAGAGGAATGGATGGTGACGATCGAGAGAAAACATCGAAATGATACGTAAACAACAACACAACAACACGTCTTTGACTGCGTGCTGTTCCTAAAATACTACAACGACAACAAAAACAACAACAACGCCACCGAGACCAAGCCACCTGCAGCTCGCAGAGGTACTTGATGGAGTTAGACACCGCCAGCTCGGTGGGGGGGTTGACCGCAGAGGCGAGAAATTCCGCGGGATCCCCCTTGTCCAGCAGCAGGATCTGCAGCACCATGTCGTCGAGGCTAACTCGGAGCATCTCCGGCAGCTGAACGTACGTGTGGGTTTGGGGGGTTGCAAGGGAGGGAGAGCGGGCGATTCTTCGATACCCGACGACCCTAACCGGCCGGGGAAGGAGAGACGGGCGGCATTCGGCCTCACTGGTCCGCACAAAGAGTTTTTCCTACCTGCAGAGACCCTCAAGAAGGCTGTAGCAGTGTACATGTCTTGGTGGCATGGCGTAGCCGAAGGAACTGGGTCAAAAAGAATACCATTGGTCACGTCAAACTACCTCGTATCCAAAAGAGGGTGGAAGCAGCAGAGAGGTGTTTGGTTCTCAAGGACGGTTTGAAGCAGCAGAATGATCGCGGGTGCAGGTAGAAACGCGAAGCGTCGAGAGAACCCGATGTTCGTGTGCATGTCGACGGAGAAATTGAGCTCGTTTCAAGTGTCTGTGTGGCATGATATAAAACGTGTCTCGAGTGTGGGGGTGGCGGATGCACTCGCTTCTTCCTTTTCTGGAATAGAACCGGCCGCCGCACGCTTTGCAGCCCTACCGAGCACCGATCCTAGAACCGATCTCTCTCCTGGAGGGTTTGTGCCGTTGCGAGAACGTACAATATTTGCACAAAATACATAATTCACAACAGACTTTTTAGCAGCAGCGGCAAGGGGGAGGTACGGAGGCAACGTCAACGCAACAAAAAAAACTCACAGAAAAATATGACCAAGTCCAACATAGACGAAGCCGCAAAATATGCAGTCTGACTGCATGAGCAGTTCTGCAATCCCTCCCGGTTCACATTGACAACGGCTTACCTGAAACTCGCTGATGGTGTCCTGGAACGTGCCGGACGAGCACATGTGGAAGCACACGCCGGGACGCACGCGGCCGGCTCGCCCTCTCCTCTGCTTGGCGGAGGCCTTGGACACCCAGCACTCCAGCAGCATGGGCATCATGTTGGCGTCATCGAAACGGTTCTCTGGTGGGAATATGGGAGGGGAGAAGAGGGAGGTTGAATGCAACGCTCGTCACGAAGCCGAAACGATTCATTCGACGAAGACCAAGATGGAAATGTGGACCATGTGTCTGCGATCCCTGCAGCGGTTTTGGTGATGTTGCCGTTCGTCGCACCCCGCGACTCTCAGCCCTCTCATACAGTAGTACGACAACCGCCGTTTTACCCCCTCGCTTGTTTTCCCTTCTCCCACTGAAAACCCCTCACTACGAGTTGACTACGGAAGCTTTTAGAAAAGGCTCGGATGCAATGAAAAGGCTTGCACGGATGCTTTTGAGCCTAAGAACGACGTCGTTGGCGGGAAAGCCGCAGGATTCCTCAGGCCGGATGATGGGAAGCTATCATTGTCGACACCATCCAAACTGTCCGCCCCTCTCACAGGCTGGTATTGGCTCTACCTTAGAACTGTTGATGTTATCTTGCCGAAATTGAACAACACCTTACGGCTGAATCTTCATCGCTGTTGCAAGGGAGGTTGAAGTCAGTGACAACAATTGCCGAGCATAACAGGGCGATACTGCTACAGTATGTCACCATTACCGCCACCGCTTCTATGCTCCTGCTGTTGCTCCTGTTGCTGTTGCTGTTGCTACTTCTGCTGCTGCTGCTGCTGCTGCTACTGCTGCTGCTGCGGCTCGGATGCGGTGCTGCTGCGGCTGCTGCTGCGGCTGCTGATACCACTACTACAGCTGTGTTTCTTCGTCATTATCGTGCCTTTGACCCTGCAGCTGTCGACGACGAAGACGCAGTCCTCGATGGTGATCGAAGTCTCGGCGATGTTGGTCGACACGACGATCTTCCGCACTCCCTTGGGGGGCACCTCGAAGATGGCCTTCTGGTCCGAGGTTGACAGGGACCCGTGAAGCGGGTACACTCGCGTCTTTTCCTGGAAAGATTGTACATCAAAAGGCGCGGAAAAAGTACGATTTGTGATACAACATTAACGAAGAAGAAAACGACAGGGGGAGGGAGGAAATGGCGTACATTTGGGGACAGCTTAAATCCCAAAAAAGAAAATAGTGAAAACACCAGGTGCCCGGAGGAAAAACAGAAAGGGCGGAAAGCTCATTGCGTGCGCAAGAAGCTAAACAAAACGGGTGGGCAAAGCACCAAAGTGCCGTATGCGAAGTAACGGGTTGTACTCGCTGAATCAATGATGCACCATAAATCAGTGTGAGGTCTGCAAACAAAAATCATGTGTGAACAATCACAGGTGGGAATCGGGTTTGATGTGAAAGCATTGACACCAGGCTGCCGTTCAAACCTGAAAGGATGTGCACGACGAGTCACTTTCCTGTGACTACCTTGAAACAGAACCAAAGCATTATTATTGTTCTTCGCAAATCGGGCGTAGGAGAGTGTATGGCGGAGCTTGTCATGGAACACAAGAAGACACTGCGGCTTGTGCTGGCAGGCGTACGAAAAACTCGGGGATAGGATATGCTCCTTGAACCACGCGCCACCTCCAAAAAATCGAATTAATATCTTGTTGTAGGTTAAAAGAAACCCACGGTATTTGGCATTCAGGCAAAACACCACAGTAGACGACGACCTGCGACCTAAGCAATGTCGGATCCATTTTTCTCATGCAGAAGAAAGAGCGCGCGCCCGCAACAACTCAAGGGTGACAAAAAAAATCGCACACCTTGTCGTTGAAAAGCGGGTTCCCGGCGAGCGCCTCGAGCATCTTGGTGATCTCGGCGAGTCCCGGCAGGAAGACGAGGATGGCCCCTTCTTCGAAGTTGTGGGTGATGTACTCGAGCAGGCTCGAGATCGCCTCGTAGTTGATCACGCTCTCGTCCACCACCTTTCGTGAGGTTTGGCGTATGTTTGCAGCGCAGAGCGGGTGATTTATCGGGGCGCGCACAGGCAGTGACTACAAACAACGCCTTGCGTGTGTGTGTGCGTGTGTGTGTGTGTGTGTGTGTGTGTGGCTGGCGGGGTGCTCAAGTGCATGGATCGGTCAATGTTTCACCGCTTGATTGTACGAGGGAGAGGCAGCAGCGCAGGCAGCAGCCTGAGAACGTACTGGTTTAGTTATCAGTCGAAATGCCCCCCAACAATAGGAACACAACGCTCTCTCTGTCTCTGTCTCTGTCTTTCTCTCTCTCTCTCTCTCTCTCTCTCTCTCTCCCACACACACCCAATCGCGCGGAGTGCCGCAGAAAACCCCCCAACCCAAAATGCGCACATACAGCGGTTCTCTGAGGCAAAGCTCGCACGGGGTTCGATTCTCGCGTCGCTTCCCTTGGACACAACGCCAAAAATTGGGGAACCGGGGCGCGGGATGCAACCTACCGGTGGCAATTGGCAGACATAACCAAACGATGCAGCGCCGACGTCATGACATTAAGCCAACAAACACCAAGGCGACCGCTGTTCTGGTTAACACCAACCAACTACGACAACGGCAAATACACCTACCAGCAGGCTCTGGTGAACGTTGTCGCTGAAACCGGCGTACCGCTTCTTGATCTCGCCGATCGTCGGCCGTTCTGCCCCCCCGCCCACTGACCCACCAACGGACCCGGCTCCTGCCCCTTGTCCTGCCTTAGGAGGTGCGTTCTGAGGACCATTCCGAGAACCGTTCTTTCCTTTGGGTTTGGCACTCCCCGGGGTAGGCTTGGCGGTGCCACACCTGCAGGAAGAAACGGCAGCACACCGGCAAGACGCGGCCAGGTTGCGCTGTAGAAGCTTGGCGGTCTACCGAAAGTCTTAATGGAAGGGAGTCAGCGGATTTCCGGGGTCAATCGACGTCCCGTAAAAAGCGCCTTTCGCTGCCTGTTGGAAGTCGAGAACGCAAGTTGCCGGCGCGCCATGTCGCAGCAGCGGCATACGGAGCCTTCGTCTAGAGGACAAGACAGCTACACAGCGAGAAAAAAAAAATATATATATATATATATCTGCTGCACGTTTCCAGCGAGGGTCAAGCCGAAAGACAAAACAACATACGTGAAATACCGGAAAGAAAATCTGGGAGAACCGCAGTTGTGGTCACGGCCTTGGAAACAACAGCGGAGAGTAGCCTAGGGCTCGACACCGAGCACGGCGCGATCCTCCCCGGTCGTCATTTTCGGGTAGAATTCAAGGCCCCACATTTTCGGTTCGTTCTCGAGACTTCTGTGGGTTCACCCCAGGCAACCGCTCTCGTGTCCGCCGTAGGTCAAGAACGGGACTAATACCAACAAAAACACGGACCGAAGAGTGCAAAAAACACGATCGAACAATTGAAGGACAACACGAAAAAAAAAAAAAGACAAAAGGAACACCTGTAGCAGGCCGACTTGCTCGCGAAGCAGTTGTTCCCGCACGAAGGGCACTCCCAGTCGCCAGGCTTCATCCCACTACCCTTCCCCCCTCCCCCGCCACCACCACCACCACCACCACCACCACCGCCGCCGCCTCCTTTCGACCCCTTGACGGCGAAGTCGCCCTTCGGGTCCACCACGTAACCGGTACGTTCCAAGACGTCCTCCAGGAAAAACGGGGTCACTGGGTGGGCTCGCCCCGGGATTTCCACCACCGGTGCACCTGCATTTCTCGTCGAAACGATGGTATGTTTGCAATGCAGTATTAAAAATAAATGGTGGTTTTGCTGTTATTCCTGCTGCTGCTGCCGCTGCTGTTGGTATATTTGCTGAAAATCGTGCATCGGCTGCTAACAGAAACACAAAACGTGATTTCTAGAGCCGGAAAACGCTTTCGATTCACCAAAAGGCCAAAGCCAAGCTAGCCGTGTGGGGCTATCGCGTCGCCAACCTCCATGGCAAACATCCCGCGGTGTTTCCCTATCTTGTTGTTGTTTTCATTTCCTTCCATCCCGTACACATTATATTGTCTTGATACTCTCTCCACCCCCCGAAGTAGGTGGCAGGAACATAACGTCCTGACGATAACCGTATCGAAGCATCGATACACAGTGCGCGGGCGCCCCTCGAGCAAACGCCGTCGCACAGCAGTTCGCGAGCCGCGCCTTCACAAAAAAAAAAACACAAGACACGCCAAGACTCTCGGAGTACCAGCAGCGACTCTCAAGATTCGTTGTCGCGTTTAATTGTTGCTTGCTGACTTATTCCCTGAAAGGCATCAGAACCAAACGCTTTGGGCCCTCGTTCCACCGCCGTAGAGTTAACGCAGGCGAGCGGGTCCCTTGATAGGGTCTTGGGGTCGGAACGTGGGAACTACAAGTCAAGCCTGTGCCGTCTAGAACTGGACTGTGAAGGTCGACCAATCACAGCGCTTCGAACACCAAGGGGGGTGCGAAAATGGAAATGGAGTTGATTTCACCTCCGAAAAAGTCGCTGAACATGTCGGCGTTGAGGGTGGCGCTCATGAGCACGAGCTTCAGCCCGGGGCGCTTGGCCAGCAGGCCCTTGAGGATGATGAGTAGGAAGTCGGTGTCCAAGTCTCTCTCGTGCACCTGCAGGCCGGCGGCGGAACAAACGTCGGGGGTACAGCAGTGCATCGATAGGCGAGAAAACGTTGCAGCAAGAGTTCATTCACACCGACGTTTTTCCGGAAGGAATGGGTAGATGTGAAACAAAAAATGAGAACGATTACTATTTACTTGCTGTGGTGGGTGAACCCACAGCAGCGCTTGAGAGATAAAAAAAAATAAAGAAAATGCCTCGGGTTTCACATGGGTGATCGGGGGCCGAGGCTTCCAAGAAATTTCCACTGCCGCTGTCAAAAACACTCGATCGATCACGACGATGGCGAAGGACGTACGAGAGATGGCGAGGGGCGCGACCCTCCTCGAAAAGAACGGAGAGAGTGTCACGTCATTCGGACCCCACAACACACTCCTACAGGCAGCGAACCGATATCAAACCGACAGACTTGTGAGTATGGAGCGTAAGGCGCCAGCAGGAAGGACGCACCTCGTCGACGAAGACGTGGCTCACGGAGGCCAACCAGGGGTCCACCTGCAGCCTCCTCAGGAGGATACCCGTCGTGCAGAGCAGCAGCCGGGTGGCCTTGCTCCGCTTCGATTCCAGCCGGATCTGGTACCTGAAGAGAAACCCACACGCAAACACAGAGCACGAATGGCCTTTGTTTCTAGCCGCAATGACGCATTTTTATTGATCAGGGTGGTCAATGCGACTAGTACGTACACACAGAGATTGGCAAAAGCAAACTTCATTGGTCAGCCGATTGGCGAGGTTGATTGTCAATAATGAGCATGCACGAGGGGGGCCATGGGAAACGCTCGCGGAAAATTCATGGGGACTGTAGAACGCGCCAAGCGCTGTTTCCTAGTCCATAACCTCCATCTGCGTGCCCCCCAGTGGGTGCGTCAAACGTAGACTTGAAGCCAAACGTGTGAGAATAGTAGTGCCCAGGAGAAGGTGCGAAGGAAAAAAAAAAAAAGTATTGACCTCCGGGAGGGTGGTACAAATCACGGCGAGATGACCTACCTGCCCCTTTCGGGAACATCTCACTGAGCTCCTTTCCGATACAGAAAAGGGACACACAAAAAAGCACACCCTTCTGTGTGACTGCCTCTCTTTGTGACACCTCGACCGAGAGAGAGAGAAAGAGAGAGAGAGAGATCACCATCAACTACAACAACAACAACCCGATCGTGTTACATCAAGCAAAATCCGAGCACCGTGCCGCCTCGGCAGGCACCACGACAATATCAACGTTTACCCGGCGGTTTCCCCAATCCTCTCGGCCCGCTCGGCCGCGATTCGCTCAGCCACTCCGACCGCAGAGATCCTCCTCGGCTGAGTCACGATGATGTTGGCGGACGCACCCTCCTTCTCCATGATCATCGTGTCAAGGACGAGTTGGGGGACCTGGGGCGGACGGGCGGGTGGGTATCGACATGGTGGTCATGTTTTGGACAAAGTGGTCGCAGGAAACACGTGTGTGTGTTCGTCCCATCTATTTCTGGCGCCGGTTTACAGGCCCTTTCTGTGAATGTACCTGACGTATCAGCCGGAGTCACACAAAAGGAAGAGGGTCCCCCAGGAGTTTTGTTCATGGTGGTAGAAAAGTAATGGGCCGAACATAACAAGAACAGCACTAACCTGCGTCGTCTTCCCGCAGCCGGTCTCTCCGGACACGACGACAACCTGCGCGTTCCTGACTGTACGCACGATGTGGTCCCGCATCTCGTAGGCGGGGAGCTTCGACCGCTTCGCCAGCATGTCCTGGTACGGTCTACAGCAGGAAAAAACCCGAGCCACCCAAGAAAAGCGCGTGTGTCAGGGTTAAGACCAATGGACAGCGCTTGACAGAGAGGGCCTCGTGTTGGAAATGGCAACGGTCAATGGCAACAACACCTGGAACACGCTGTTCGACAGCCATGCTTTCCGAGCCCTCTTCTTCCAACACGCTGCCCGCCTGGAGATTGGCTTCTTCGATGCTTCTGCTTCGTGCCCCCAACTCAACCACTAGGGTCGTGTCGAGACCTCGTTTCAGCGACTGCACCAGCAGAAGGGAAGCCCTGGTTGAAGAATGGATGGAACCTACTACAAGCGACTTCATCTGCACTCTCGCCAGCAAAAGCTGCTTGTGAGGGGCTATCTATCGCATGTTCGCTCCACACCGTAGCTTGCCGAGAAAACACCTTCTCGCACACGGGGCGAAGGGCGTCGGTGTTGAGAGGACCGCCTTCAGGCGATTAACAAGTTGATGAGGAAATAGAACAGGGAGGGGGTACGCAGACCCTACATCCCTAACCCCTAACCCCTATAACCCAACTTACCCGAGTGTATGCTTTATCCAGCATGTTTACATAATACGAAAAACCCTGCGAAAGGCTACTTGGTGAGTCGAGATTGCAGCAGCGCTGTGTTTTGCGTTTTCCAACAGAAAAAAACACCCCCTACAACACGCCCTAACCGGCTGGGAGATGAACGACAGGGACTGGCTCCTCTCCGTGCGAGAGCCGGAAGCAAAGCTTATCCCACGCCAGCTGCAATCAGAAAAGTATTTCGAGCGGACCTGGTGCGCGTTTTCTTGTCGAACTCCTTGAACAGGCTGTCGCTCAGAACCTTCTCGCGCGCCCTGAGCCTCTCTGCCTCCTCGTCGCCCTCGCCCCTGCCGTGGCTGTTGCTGTCCTTCTTCTTACTCCCGGCTGCTCGTCCGTCACCATTGCCGCTTGGCTGGGCCTGCATGGCTTGCTCCGCGGCGTGCGCTAGAGGAGGGAGGGGGAGGTTCTTGGCCTCCTGGGCCTCTAGCCACGGTTGGCTTGCCTGAGGTATCACAGTATTTGCGGCGGTGGGGTTGTCGCTGTTTTTTCCGCCGTTGTCGTCGTCGTCGCTGTTGTTATTGTTGTTGTTGTTGTTGTTGTTGTTGTTGTTGTTTTTACTTACGAAATGAAAGCTGAAAGGCGATCTGATCTCTGCCTAGCACCCCCACAACGCTCTTCGTGCTGGCCCAAAGAGCAGGGAAGCAATTTCCCCTGACACAACAGGCTGACTGATCCAAGCGCCAAGCAAACCACGATATCTGGGTGAAACGTGAATCTCTGTTGGCACTGGCCGCGGAGTCGGCCGCGTTCGAAACCACGGGCACAGCACACACACATGTGCGCGGGGTGCTAGAGAGAGGTGCAACGTCTGGAATCAACACCAACAAACAATGGTGCAGAGCAGCGAGAGACAAAGGCGCCGAAAGCGCTACCCCCATCTCCACTGGCACCACGACCACGACCACGACCACAAGCCAACATTAAAAAAAAATGCAAGAAAGGGGCGTGACCGCGCCTCCACCCACACGCTTCCACCGCCCCCCCACCTCCACAACCTCGTTAAAAGGAACAATCACACGACCCTAACACCTTCCCTCCCACCTTTGTGTCCTCCAGCACCTCCATCACCTCCTGTAGGTACGGCGAGGGCTTGTACCCGTCCGCCATGGCGATCGCCATACCCCCACCCCCGTCCACCCCACCCGATTCCCCGGCGCCCCCGTCCGCCGTGAGCGCCAGGTGAAGCTTGTGCAGGGCGGCGGCAGGGACGGCCTGATTCTCGCTGGAAGCGGCCGAAGCGGCGGCGGCGGCGGGATGCGCAGGCTTCTTCTTGCCAGCGGTAGCGGCGGCAGGCGGCGACGACCTCGCCGAAGGCTTGCTTGTTGCACGCATCGGGGCGGGGGGCGGCTTTGTCGCTGTCCGCCCGGTGGCCTTGTCCGCCGCGTCCTTCGCCTGGTGCAGGCATGGCGAAGAACCAAGCGGTTATTGTTCGTGGGGTGGGGGTCAGGGTGCACGGGACGTGTACAACGATTCCGGCAATGTCGGAGGATTCACGGGGGGAGGGGGGGCTCACGGATTGAAATATTGGAAACACTGCTACCCCACGTCAAGCCCTCGCCCATATTTTTCGTACTCTTCAGTCCAGCTTGGTCAAGGGGGCAGGGGGCCTGCTGCTGCACCATAGGACTTAGTGCGGCAATAGTATCGCATTGTAGAACCCATACAATAAGAGGTGTACAAGTTTACATTCTTAACCCTATATGCATTCAACGACCTACTCTAGTTTGTACCGTACCACACTAAATCTTGTGCAATAGAAACCCTCTTCTCTCGATTTTGTGATTTGTACAATTGCCAGAACAGAGTCAAGCGCACGCCATCTCCACCTTCTGGTTGTCGAGCCCGGCGTTGAGGCCCTTGAGGTACTCCAGCCTCCACTCGTCCTCGTCCCCCCGCCCCTCCCTCCCCCGCGACGCCTCCTCCTCGGCCTTGGCCTTCTCCTGCCTCTCCAAGGTGCGCTCCACCCTGGACGATGGAGGAATCGTAGATGCTGACGTCATCGGAGATGGCGGCGAAGGAGACCTCGCGGCGGTGCCCTTCGACTGCTGCTGCTGCTGCTGCTGCTGCTGCTGCTGCTGCTGTTGCCGAGAGATCTTTGAGCCCTTCTTGTTGGCTCTCGCCAAGGCGGCTCTCTGGGAAAAGAAGCAGACGCCAACACACGCGCACAAAGTCCGTGAGGGGGGCGACTGGCGTGACTGCACTGGAAGGGTGCAGTACTACATACCACGGCCGTCTTCTCGCGGTTCCTATTGTTAGCTCGAGACCGCTCTCCCCCTCCCTCCCTCCCCTTTCCCCCGGCTTTTTCCCCCCCCCCTGCCCCTGGGTGGGGTTTGGGACGGCTTTTCAACAACAAAAAAAAAATTTGGGCGGCCCCCCCCCGCGCCGAAAGACTCCAAGGGGTTGCCAAAAAACCCCCAAACAACGTTCATTAGAGGTTCCTTTTAAGGAAAGAAAAACCCCCATAAAAACGGGGGGGGGGGGCTTGATAACTGGGACATCGTCTCCAGCCCCGAGGACCCCCCGCCGGGGGGGAACCCCCCCTTCTCCCCTTTTTTTGCCTCCGCCCCCCCCCCCCCTCTCGGCGCCAAAAAAAAAAAAGAGGGGTTTGGCCCGACCACCA